AGATAGGAGGATACTCAAACCCACAACTGCTGCATTTTTTAATCAAAGGTTGTTATCAATCAAAAACACAGAGAGGAAATAATGGTTCCAGGCAAGAAACTCAAATTTGAGAACTCTAGAATATAATTCTGAGTTATTTACCAAAGTTTGGGCAGTGTGTGCAGAAGGGAGGGGCTTTTGGGAACAGGGTAGTAAAAACTAAGTTCCTAAATAAAAGAGGAGGGAAAGTTCTCTGAACCCAGATAAAAAATGCTGTGAGAGAATCATCAGGGAGGGCTATGTCAACTGAAGGGAGCTGCAAACAGCAGACCCTAGCCTTATTTGCCTTTAACTCTAACTTTCAGGGTTCCCTGTTGGCTGAACCCAACAGGAACTGGATAAGGAAACCTGTTGATCCTAGTCCCATGGGCCCCACACAGCTGAAGGTAGTGGGAGGGGGGAACATCTTCCCAGAGTGGAGGGGAGCCGCCACAACTTGCTGAGAACCTGCTGAGAACCCACTGTGCTTTTGCCTGGCTGAAGGGAGAAGAAGTAAAACTACAGCCTCTGCACTTTTCCCAAGAATTCTTCTAGCTAGCTTCAGTTGGAAAGCTCTTTAGGACTAGTTGCATTTCCAGCTGTGAGTGGTGAGCTATGCTGCATCACTGGGTAAGCAACTGCAGTCTTCCTAAAGGTGTTGGCCCTGACCAGGCAACATGAGACACTCCCACCATGTGCTAAGTCCTGGAGGGACTACTCGGACTGCTTTCATTCCTGGCTCACACAAGAGCCAAGATCTCCTCAAAGCACACCAGTATTCCCCAAAGGCTCCTGGGACCATGAGAATCAGGCTACTTGGAACTGTGTCTAGGTATTATTTGCTGTTTTTCTTCATCCTGAAAGAGAACTCCTCCAGTGAATAATTCCTGGTCCATTCACACAGTTGAAAGCACTTGAAATGCCTCTGAACTAGAACAGGACAACTGACTTCTTTAATGAAAGGAACAATTTCCATTGAGGCCAAGAGCTTTATTTCATACTCATGTAGTTAAACTACTAAGAGAAACTCAAAGAAAAGCAGTCAGAGGAGGAAGAACTGCACATTTGAGAGGGGGAAGCTAGAGGGGAGGGAGGTAAAGAGATCTAAAGATAGAAACAGGATATCTGATCACAGCCAGCAGGAGCCAGTCTGCAGGAGGGAACTGCCATGCTTTTAGCAACATGAGTACATCACTGTATTATTAAGCCCCGCTGTATCATTCTTGGTGTCAAGTGCAAGGGGCCTTCAGAGGAGCCACACTGAGTTGTACAGGATTCATGTAGCCAGGAGTTTGCATATTGTATGGAGCCTTCTTTGTTAAAATAAAAGAATCACAATCAAGCTCTGAACTCCCTGTGGCTCACATGCAAACAAGAACTCTAAAACTTGAGCTTCTTAGCTTTGTGATATATCTGTCACTCAAGTATCTAGTTAGATGATAAGATGATTTAGACAGATTGAGATAGATAAGTTGATAGATGATTGATAGAGACATAAATGGATGGATAGATGATTGATAGATACATAGATGACAGATAGATAGATAGATAGATAGATAGATAGATATACATAGATGATAGATAGATAGATGATAGATAGGATAGATAGATAGATGATAGATAGATAGATAGATAGATAGATAGATAGATGATAGATAGATGATAGATAGATAATAGATGATAGATAGATAGATAGATAGATGATAGATAGATGATAGATAGATACATAGATAGATGATAGATAGATAGATGATAGATAGATAGATAGATAGATAGATAGATGATAGACAGACAGACAGACAAATAGATAGATAGATAGATAGATAGAGAGATAGATAGATAGATAGACAGATACATAATGAGAGATAAGTAGATAGAGACATAGATAGATGGATAGACAGATGATTGATAGACATAGATACACAGACAAATAAATGAGAGATAATTTCAGATATTTATATCTAAAAGAATATGGAAAAATACTGTTAAACATTAAATGATGCAACAATGAAGACGCCTTGCATGCACAGAAAAAAAGGAACAGAGCAAATGTTAAAACCTAATTGACAAAGATACGACCAAAATGACTTCCCTAATTACACTATGAGGTAGAGCAAGACAGAGGCTAGCTAAAGGCCAGTTCCTGAGGGGAAAACACTGAAAACTGCTTGGTGTGTCCGAGCCTCTCAGAGGGTAGGAACAAGACACGGGGAGATTAGCATGTAGTGTGAGGTGACAAGGAATTCTGAGAGGGATGTCGAAGAGGTTTGCCAAAGTGCTCGTTGCAGTCTTACCCTGAAAAGCCTGTGGGATCCTCCAAACGTAATTAAAGTAATCCCTCAATAACATGGCCCAGAAAAAAAGGGGCTGTGCGCATTTCTTCTGAGTGAGGGAAGGGATCTGTGAGGATGTCCATGCAAAGCACCCACACCCACTGGGGTATGTATGATTTCCATGACCAGAATGGACACAATGGCAAAATGGCCCAGGGGCAAAGTGAAGTGTTGGCGAAGTTCTCCTTGGTGTGCAGCGCTGAGGAATGGAGGTGAGATCACAGGTGGAATACCCAAGTGGCACATAGGGAGAACACTGGCTTGCAGTATTAGCTACTATTAAGACTGTGAAAAGAAGGTACTTTTTCAATAAAATTATACTTTAGGAAGCACTAAAAGACTCAACTTCTATTTCAATCATCTATTGCGGAATACCACAGTGACTCCAAACAGTAGTCTTTATAACAACTCTAGACTTTATGGATCAGTATCTGATCAAGAGTGTCCCTCACATGTCAGGGAGCTTTACCAAGGACACGTGAAAACCTGAGATCATCAGGAATGGCAAAGGATGTCTTCAATTGTTTAACATTCTCTGGCAAGTAGCTCGGGGCTCCTGAAACAACTGTTTCAAGAGAGAAAAATTAAAATTCTGTGGCCTGGATGCAGAAGTTTGGAACATGCCTGCTACCATGATCACTTCATCAAGCAAGTCACTGAGGGCAGCCTAGATTCGAGGACAGAAATGAGACTACATTCCATAAGAAGAACAGCAAAACCCTCACCACCTCCTCACCATAATGTTCCAACATGGAGAAATGTAAGAAGTGATCTCCAGACAGCTAACCAGCATCTCTTGGGATACGGCTGCTATCTGCCCAGCTTTGGTTCCTAGTAGAATATCTCTTTCTTCTGCCAAATGATTCATCTGGATATGGCACATATTGAATAGCCAATGGCAAAATTCTAAATGTTTCAGATTCTCAGTGCTTGTTTTCCCTAGAAAAGCCTTGCCTATGAGTCTAGCCCATGAGTCTAGCTGGTACCTTTTAAAGTCTCAGCTTAAGTCTTCCATCTGGGAAGAGGCATCCTGTTCTGTACCAGAGGAAAAGGATCCCTACCAAATCCCAACTTCAGCCTCTCTGGGTTTATGTCGATAAACACTGGTGTGTAGGAAAGACCATAAGAGCACTTAGTGTCAAGAGGATTTTAAGTCTGTGGGTTATTAATGACTAGAATTACTAAGCTGTTTTCTACCTTGGAGTGTTTCGAGAAACTGGCAGTTCCTCATTTCCTTGTCACTAGTATGGGGAGTCCCAGATAGCTAGATGTTCCCATTTGGGTCTCATGGGAAAGACTACTTCTTTCCCTATTGTGTAGATGAAGAAATGACTTGACTGAGGTCTCTGGGCGGTTGGAAGGCAGTTCCAGTCTGCATTTCCGACTCTATCTCCCTGCCCACTGCACTTCCCAATGTGCTGCTCTGAGCAGGCTGATAGGCCTGGAGAAGAACTTCCATCATCTCATCTCCACGGCACAAAATTGAGTCATCAAGTATAATTCCACACACGTAAAATCTTGTCTCTCTCTGCATCTTTCATCTAGAGTTTCTTCTGGGTCTTTCTGAAAACAAAGTCTGCATTTGTAGAAACAGCCCACTGAGTCTGAATACCTAGAAATAAAGGATTTTTACACTTATCCCAGAATAAATGGTATTCGTCCTACTGAGCAAGGACACCACAGTTTTCATCTTCAGAGTGTTCCGCAAGCATCAGCTCGTTAAGCCTCTGAGTCTTCAGGGTGGCAGCATTTTCATCTCACATTTCCTCAGATGGTTGTCTGCTTCTTTATACAAATCAGCACATTCACATCAGAACCTACAGACCATGAAGTTGTCCCCTCAATGTGAGACAAGCACAGTGCCCTGGGTGAGTCAGCATGCCCAGTGATCTTAAGGGCAAGGAACACACAAGAACTGTCTCCTTTTTTTTTTTTTTTTTAATATTAGACAGACAAGTACTTACCAATGGCTTACTGGTAGTATGTCACCTTTGATAGTTTTTGCATCATATTAAACATTACATTTTGAAATAAACAAAAAGGATACTCCCTTTTTCAATGATTCTTTACAATTAACACTCACTGAGAGAATCAAGGATTTTTGAACTATCATCAGTCATAGATACATCTTCTGTGTTCCCGCTAAATTTACTATTTACTCTAAATTTATCTTATTTTCGCTCTTGATTCCATAAATGAAACATTGTTATTAAATTTTTGTTCTCTGAGAATTTTACGTGTGAGTACTATATTTACGTCATTCTTAAAGCACCCTCTTCTTCCTCTTGGGCATCCTCTTCCCCTGGGAAAATATTTATTGTTGATACAATAGTCAGAATATATTTCAGAGAAAAGATTGTCTGGAGGCTATGAAATGTATAGAGTTGCCATTGGTTTCCTAGTAAAACATTACGCTGGAGCTGAACTGGAGGTCTCCATTTTCTCATTGTACATGGAAACATGAAGGATTAGGTTTTATGGTACTAAAATGAGGTAAGAGCCGAAATAAATCTGCCCATTGAGATGCATGAGACTACTAGAACAACAGTCACTTATAGAATGAACAATGTCCAAGTCACCCTTGTGAAATCTAGGAATCTTCCTGAAGGAAGCCTCCATGGTCACTGATGCTGTCTTCTCTATTTGCAGATCTAGCCAGCATGAAGGCTGTGCTTCTCCTCCTGTATGCAGTGGGAACTGCTGCCGCCATCCCGGTAAAGGTCCTTTCTTCTGTGTTATATCTCTCTCTCTCTTCTGCCTGCATTTGGGAACCATTGTCCTTGAGATGCTGAAGCAGGAGGCTCCATCTCAAGACTAAAAAGACCCAGTCCCAAACAAAACTACACATACACACACACACACACACACACACACACAAAATAGTTCTTTTAGGATGACTTTGGATTCTTTTTCATTCCAATTACATTCTTTATTGCCCAAGAAGTAAATGTATAAGTAAAAGGGAAAAAAATCAAGATAATATACTTTAAAAATGTTTTCAAACAATAAGGTAAAATAAATATGCAGCAGAAAATACTGACTAATTATTACCTTATTAAACAGAGTGTACCCCAAACGAACAGCCAGGGAGAAATAAATTAACTTACAGATCTGTGGAAAAATAAAGAATTTAACATGTGTTACATAACCATTCTCCTCCAGTATTTTCTCCAAGCTCAAATGCATGCTATCTGATTTCTCAGATTGAGACTCTCTCCTGATAATCTATAGTAATAAAAACAGGAATCAGTGTGGTAGGACTATAAATGCTTTGGTGGTAATCATAGAATGGCTGCTACCTCATCTCTGGGCTGTCCAAGAATGTGTGCTCCAAGTAGGTATGACTAGAGCATCCTCTACTTCCTGTTCTGGCACAAGCACCCCAACATCATCTACAAGTGATAAAGCCACTGCACTGAAATCATACTCTTGGGGACCGTGTCTCAGCCTGAGCACTGTAGGGAGGTTTCCTTTTAAAACAGATCCTTGTGATCATTACTGATGTCCCACAGATGGCCTGTGTCATCTTTCATTCATGCCATCTGGTTTTTTTCAACCACTGGAAGAACCAACCTCTTCTAAATAGACAAGCAATCGCCTCCTCTTCTCTGGTCTAAAATTCTGTTCTTGTGTTTTAGACAAATGGGAGCTGGTTTCTAATAGCTGAACCAGCAAAACCAAGCTCCATGGCACCCTGATCGAGCAGTTCACCGAGAGAAAGAATTTATGACAGATGCTAAGAATCATGCTTATCTCATGTGGAGTAGTCCAGTTGAATTCACACACTGTACTCTGAAATTAGAAATATGGGACACACTAACATAAAACAGAGTTCCCAGAGAATCATTGCTTTTCTCCTGAAAATATGTTTTCCCTTTGGAGTGGTCATGGATTTAGCTTTGTAAACAGGCACCAAGAGTCTTTGAACCAAATGTTTGGTAACACGCCCACACATAGACACAAGCCAGATGTTTCCTTTCTGGGACAATTTATTATAAGCAGACCCAGCCAGATGCTGAAAAGCTAAGTAACTTCACAAGACTGGCCAGCTTAAAATCCTGTAGGGTTTTCCAATCCTGCTTGAATCCTTCAGCAGGGAGATCCAAGCAGACTCTCAAGAGGCCATGAGAAATAAATACAGACGTGACCATGATAATGAAATAGATTTCAATCACCAGAAACTTCTGAAAGAAATGAGCGGCCTGCTCTACTAGTGTGCACTCCTTGGAACTAGAAGGAACATGGAGGTTTGAGAGGAGAAGCATTCAACAACAAGCCTAACCTCTCCTCTACCTCTATTGTCTCTCAAGACACTCTGAGGATGAGGAGATTTACCAAAATCCCCTCCATTCTTTCTCCTTCCCCTCTTCCCTTCGGCTTCTTTCAAAATATTTTCAATGTTAATCCTCTCAGCTGAGAAGCAGGTGGGATGCAAAACATCAGTCAAATCCTCACAGATTCTGTACTCACCCAACTCACTTCATATCTCCCCCCTCCCCCAGCAGCCCTCAGACAGCTGCCTTGGACAATGACAGCACACGGGAACACTACAGTCAGGGAGAGTCATTATAACTCCTTGAACTTTACAAAATAGTTTACCTGCTCGCTCTGTGTTTCTGCTCACCTTGCCAGCAGTGGTATAAGCCAGCCCCTTGTCAGGCTCCAGCAGAGATTAACAAGCAGTCAATGCTTGAAGGGAGATTTCCCTCCAAATGTAGTTCCTCAGCTTCCCTGTGGTGTGGTTCAGCATTGCCCAGCTCTTCCTTGATATCTGCAATCTTGAGGGAAGCCATTGCTCTTTGAAGCCAGACTCCAAGGTTGTTGTTCCCTATCAGGCTCCATTCCCTGTCCCAAGCAATCGTTGAGTTAGTTCTAAATTAAATTGCTTTTTAGTCAAAGATGTTCTGATGCATGTTGAAACCAATGGGGCTCAGAAAATAAATAAGCCATTTATCAAAAATTGTATAATTTTTCTGGTAATTATCTGTGAGAAATTAAAAGCAGCCACGGGGCTGGACAATGCTATATCCCAAGGTTAATTTTGTTTGTCTTCAACTTTGTGTTAAATAACACTCTTCACAGTTATAAAATATAACTGTTCTTGTCAAAGTTTAAAAATTCTAAAACTCAAGGATGATCATTATTGAAATATTTTTAGCTAGTCTTTGTATATATAACCTTTCATAAATTTGACTATAATTTTTTTAGGTAACAGCATCTTTCAGGCATTTGCTTGTAGCCTAGAAAATTCTAGAGAATACCATTCATTGGTGTTATAAGTAAAGATCCCAGTACTGGTAATAATGACAAGAACAACTCAGTCGTTTTCAGTTGGCATCTATATATTAGTAACATAAAGTCTTCACTTTTTCAGACAAGTGCAAAGTTTCTCTCTGATCATTCCAACCCAACTACCACAACACTGGTGACATCAGAAGATGCTACAGTCCCCATTGTTGGGGTTGAAGCTACAGCAGACATAGAAAACCATCCCAATGATAAGGTAAAACTAATCATTATATTAATATCATTGTTTTTCATTTCCCCTGAGAACTCAGTATCAAAGCATGCTTACAAGTTTCATATATTCTATTTTCAGTTTAATTTTGTAAGTACAATAATCATACAAACTATCTGTAAACACTAAAAGTTATGACTAATAGTATACTCCCTGCAGTAAAGTACGATATGACCATTTCCTTTTACAAAATTCAAATTCAGGCTAAACCCGTTTTCTAGAATGGAAAGAACAACTCAAATATGTTCATATGATAATATCTGAAGAAACAGAGGGAAGAATGTTTAATGCTAGCTTTGTAGTGGTAAATAAGAATACCATGTCATTTGTTCCAAAAACAAACTTTTGTTCATTTAAGGCTGAAAAATCTTCAGCACTGAATTCAGAAGAGGAAACCCAGGAGCATTCAACAGAGCAGGACAAAACCTACAGCTTTGAAGTGGACCTGAAGGATGAGGAGGATGGGGATTTAAGTGTAGATCCAATGGAAGGAGTGCTGGATCTACAAGAAGGTACAAGTAAGCCTCAACAGAAAAGTCTCCTGGAGAACGCTGACTTCTCTGCTCCTGTCCCCACTTCCCTTGTGGATTTTAACCAACGTGCAAATGTCACAAAGGGACAGGAGCAACCTGTAAGTAACTCACACCAGCAACCGAACAGCAAGCAGACCCAAGACTTAATGGACGAAGACAGTCAGACACAAGATCCAGGCATTCCCAATGAAGGAGAGGAAGAAGAGGAAGAGCTAGAAGATATTGGTGCCCCCAGTGATAACCAAGAGGAGGGAAAAGAACCTCCCGAGGAGCAGCCTACCAGCAAGTGGGAAGGAAATGGAGACCAAGCTGATGACACCTTAGAAGAGTCCAGACAACCAACTCAGATAAACAAGACACAGAAGAATCAGTTTGAGCAAGGAAATCAAGGACAAGAGAGTGACTCTAATGCAGAAGGGGAGGAGAGCAAGGAACACGTTCCTCATACAGAGTGGCAGGGCCAAGAAGAGAAAGCTGTCCTTGAAGCTATTGACAACCAGAAGGATCCAGATGAAAAGACACTTTCCACAGAACCTAGCGATGCTGCCACGGTGCCTAGGAATCACGGAGCCAGTGATAACAGGGGCGGTGATGATTCTAAGCATGGTGCAAGCGATGACTATCTCATCCCCAGCCAGGAATTCCTAGAGGCTGAAAGAATGCATTCCCTCTCCTATTACCTCAAATACAGTGAGGAGACAATAGGCGAGAGTGAGAACCGGAGTGAGGCTGGAGACAACCAAGGGGTGAGCTTATTTACGATGACACTTGTCCAATCAGTTAACCGAGAATAGTTGCAGCTGCTCTGCATGTTCCCATACCCTATTGTGTGTGTGTGTGTGTGTGTGTGTGTGTGTGTGTGTGTGTGTGTGTGTGTGTAGCAGTACATTACTAAAATAGAGGGCAGGCTAAGCATCCCTTATGTGACATGACTGGCACCAAAGGCATTGTGATTGTTTCTGGAATTTGGAAATTGTATATATATAACAAGATATCTGGAAAATATAATCTATATTTAAGCACAAAATTTATTCAATTTACACAGACTCTCTATGTGTTGTACATAACTTAAGGATAATTTTATACAATATATTTTATGTGTCTCTTCTGTGACCTGTCACATGAGGTCATATGTCAAGTCTCTAGAGACCATATCAGCTCTCAAACAGGAGTTGGATTTTGGAGAATTACATATTTCAAGTGCTCAGATTATGGATTCTCACCTTGTACAATCATATATTTTTCTTCCTGTCTCCATCATTAGACTGAAAACATGTTTTATTTGGCCTCCTGTTAGAAGCTGACCTTGAAGTTGAGGTGACAATTATTTGAGAAGTATAAGACACAAAGAGAAGTATAAGACACTATGTAATGTTTACATAGAAGTATAAACATTACACAGGAAGGAAAAGAAGCTAACAACAAGATCCTCATTAAATTCATAAAATAACAAACAAACAAACAACCTCCCAAGGACTGATTCATTTAAGAGCAAGGGAGCTGGCACACTTATTTTGTCTGGGCCTTGCTAGAGAGGTAGTAATTCCCCAGCACATCCAGTCTGCCCTTTGAACAGGTCACATAGATGTCCATGGTTGAGGGAGCTTGGAAATGTAAACAGTAGAATTAAAAATCCCTGGAGCTGTCTGGTGCTGGTAACGCACAGCTTTGATCCCAGCACTCTGGAGGCAGAGGCAGGCAGAACTCTGAGTTCAAAGCCAGCCTGCTCTACAGAATGAGTTTTAGGACTCAGATAAACTTTGTCTCTGAAATAAATAAATGAAACAAACACAGAAACAACTCCATCCCTGGAGCTGGCTAGAAATTTTGACAGACCTGAAGAATGTGCTGCTGTTTCAAAAGCTGGGGTCACGATAATTCTGCTGAGCCACAGAGTCTGTCAGAATATCCCCAACAGAATCAGACAGCCAGTAACACTTTTAAAATTAACCATAAAAATTAAAGTGCTGCTCTATTACACAAACACATGCCCAGATGAAAACCCAGACGTTGCAGGAAGGAGAAAGCAGGATTCTGCTTTGATTTAGTGGTTTAATAACCTTGGACTTTCTGGAAGCTTCCTAGCCACACCCCCACAGAAACTGATCCTGTTTGGGTGGCAGTACCCTAAGTCCTTAGACCTCTCTTGCCCCTCTAAGGTAGGAAGTTTCAAAACCTGCTCAGAAAGTTTTACCAATATCTCCATGTAGGTGACTGATGGACCCCCATTCTCAGGACAGAATTCCAAGATAAGGTTATGGGGACAGTGCTTTCCCAACTCTGAAGTAGTGATCTTACCTCACATGCAGTGACTCTTGCTCTCCAAGAGTTACTATCTTGCTCTGCAGTTTCAGGGGTTTATCAATTAAGGTCTGAACACGAACAGCTCTATGGAGGTATACACGGCTCCATGGAGTTATGCACAGCCCTGTGGAGGTGTGCACAGCTTTGTGGAGGTATACACGGCTCCATGGAGTAATGCACAGCCCTGTGGAGATCTGCACAGCTTTGTGGAGGTATACACGGCTCCATGGAGTAATACACAGCCCTGTGGAGATGTGCACGGCTTTGTGGAGGTATACACTGCTCCATGGAGTAATGCACAGCCCTGTGGAGGTGTGCATGTCTTTGCATGGCTCCGTGGAGGTAGGCACAACTTTTTGGTGGTAGGCACAGCTCCTCAGAGGTATGCACACCCCTGTGGAGATATGCACAGTGCACAGTAAGACAGAAAGCAAATTACTGCTCTCTTGAGAGCGCTGAAATTCTGCTCTTGTTCTTTTCAAAGGCCAAGAAAGCTGAGAGCTCACCAAATGCTGAACCTTCAGATGAGGGCAATTCAGGGGGACACAGTGCTGGTGAGTGGATGCTGTATGAGCTGCAGCTGGTCCAGGGGAGATAAGATCTACCATTTGGGTTAGCACCCCTTTTATTATAACCCAGAAATCCACAGCCCCAGCCTCCCCAAGGGAATAGTTTGTAAAGTGTTGGTATTTCTAATATGTGTTTGATAAACTGTGGGTCAATGTGCTTATAAACTAAAAGACCTGTTGAGATTGTACTCAGAGCTATCTGTATCCTCCTCCACAGACTCCACCACACTTTCAATTCTGAGAAGGATTGATTCTGCTGCTTATCCTCAAACCCATCCTTCCCCAACCACAAACATCTTTAACTTCAATAAACTAAATTCTCCTGGCTTAGCTTCAGACTTCTCTGCACCGCATTTTCTACATCTGAGATTCTGAGGATCTTAGTCAAGCCAAAAAAAAGCTAGCAGCTCCAATCCAGTCTGTTGTAAGAAGATATCTAAACTCCTCTGCACACATCTGATGCCAGAGAGTCCACCTGCAGATTAGCACATCAATTAAAGTGGTCTCCAGCTTCTTCCTGCTCCCACACTCTCTGAGATCTGACTTCCTGTCTTATTTTGTTAAAATGAAGCTGACCATCTGGATGTCTTCGTGTTTAATACACAATTTCTCTGTGTCTCTGTTCCCTTTCCAATCTTTTCTATTAGATTCTTGCATGAACTTCCAATGTAAAAGGGGACACAGTTGCAAAACTGATCAACAAGGGAAACCCCACTGTGTTTGCCAAGATCCAGAGACTTGTCCTCCTGCAAAAATCCTCGATCAAGTAAGTATTCTGAAGAATAGTCCCTAAGATACACCTCCAAAACTCTAGTTTATTGAGTGAAAATAGTTTGCAATTTAATCTATTTTATGATTAGGGATACAGGTTATTTAATATTTGAAGTAATATTGAATGGGAACAAATGCCAGAGAAATCAAAGTATTTGAACTGTGCCATAAAAAATTATAGTGGGGTCGAGGAGATAGCCCAGTGGTAAAATCCTTCTGTGTAGGTCTAGGACGGGATTTGGGATCCCCAGTACCCACATAACTGCTAGTTGGGAGTGGTAACTCCAAGACACTCAGAAGGCAGAGATGAGGCTCACTGAATCAAGCTGACTGTGAAGACTAGTGGTATAGATGAACTCTGGGTTCAACTAAGAGAAACTGCCTCAGCAAATAAGGTGGGGTGAGATCAAAGAGAACTCCCTAAGCCCCTCCCACCACCAGCCTAGGCCCCGCCCACCATAATCCCCGCCCATCTTCCGCTAAGGCTCTCCCAACATCAGTCTAAGTCTCCCACACACACAGTCATACATGTATGTACATCGCTGTGCATACATACGGAAACACAGAGTGTACTGTGTGCATTACACTCATAGCACATAAAATATTTACATCTCAATTTAAAAAGATGGTGCCAGCATTTGAGGAGGAGAAATTTTGAATTCCTTCTGTCCTTGGGTTATTTACAATTACAGTTCTATGGAGATCTACCTGGAGCTAAGTTATCACCATTTACTAAGATTTTTTAATCTTAGTAGATTTTTTTTTATTTAGATTTTAGATTTAGATTTTTTTTAGATTTTAGATTTTTAATCTTAGTAGATTTTTTTTTTTTTGGAGAATTGCTATTTTAATAGACTCTACCAGAGCACATCTTTGGCATAGCACATTCACCAGGTGTTCTGTGAGTGCCAAGGAAGTGTTCTCCAGTGAATATCTGGTTCCATCACTGCTCCTTGCTTTCCTTGTCTAGGCTTGTGGCACTGACAACCAGACCTACGCCAGCTCCTGTCACCTGTTTGCTACCAAGTGCATGCTGGAAGGGACCAAAAAGGGACACCAACTGCAGTTGGATTATTTTGGAGCTTGCAAATGTAAGACACTGACTACTACTGCCAAACATCACTTGTAGGTGAATTTGGGGTGATTTTTGTGCTTCTCTGAATTCTATATATACTGACCCCCCCCCAAAAAAAAAAGTTTATATAGTTATTAGAGCAGTCTGAAACTAAGACCAAGTCAGGAATTCCCAGGTCCTAATCATAGGAGATTCTGATTCCATGAGACCACTTGGAAGCATAGTTTTGTTTTACTATTTGTTTTTTCAAGAAACCTAGACATTTCCAACTCTCCCCACCCCACCAAGTTCAGAGGCACCATTGTAAAAAGCACTTACAGGCATGAAAGATGGGGATTTTATGAATACTTCCTCCCAATTTAATTTGTCAAGAATTATAGTGCAATAAATGCGTCCAGAAGTTGTTTAACACCATCTTCCAGGATTTTCTCAGTTGTGTCTGGCTCCCACACTAGTACAGCCTGCTCATGTTTCTGCTTCTCCTCGGTTTCTACACACACAAGTCTGTTGGGCCCCTTGATGTAAAGTGTTAGCCTCTGACTTGCTCCGTCCACTAATGTGGACAAATTCATCTATGTGCCTTCTAAGCAGAATCCCATGAAAGCTGGCATGTTTCTCCGTGTTCTCTCAGCTTGTCACCACATACTCTGAAGCCTTGTGTTGAGGTAGTAGCCATATTGTTGAGCCCCAGGGAGACTGTGATGAAATGAGCCCTCTTGGGAGCTAGTACAGACTTGGGTGGTCTGGGCCTCTTTAAATGCAGAGATGTAGCATGATTTGCTACTGTACGGCAGCTCAGCTCAACTTAATCTTTTGGGGCACATCAACAACCCAAGTGACCTCCATTTCTAAATTCCTGGTCTTTAATTTTACAGCAGTGGTCCTCAGTCCTTTACAGCATGTCAAAATTGTTTAGAGATGTCTTAAAACATCCTGATACTCAGGCACAAAAAATCCCCAACGACTTTGACCATGTCAGGAGCTTCCCGTGACTTGTTATTTGAAGTATGGTCACGTATTTTCTGCACTCCACAGCTATTCCTGCTTGTACGGACTTCGAAGTGGCTCAGTTTCCCCTGCGGATGAGAGACTGGCTCAAAAACATCCTCATGCAGCTTTATGAACCGAATCCCAAACATGGCGGCTATCTGAATGAGAAGCAAAGAAGCAAAGTAAGCTATGGGTGGTCTGCTGCCCAAGTGTCTCTCCTCAGGACCTGAGTGGGGAAGGGCATGGTAGGAGCTCGCATAGCGGAGGAATCTACTCTGCTTTTCTGCATATGGTTAGCCTGCACTCATTAATATTGTGCAGTGCTCATCCTCCATGTCACAACCTTCATGGTATGACTAAACTGCCCACATTCCACTCAAGGGCAGTGTCCTAGAAAGTGTCCCTTTAGTTGTGTCTGCAGAAAGCTGTGATGGAGCAAAGTTAACAAATTCAGCATTTATGTGATCAGTTTCCCATGACTGAAATAAACACTGGAAATAACACAACTTAAAGAAGAAAGGTCCCTTGGCTCCCTGTTTTCAGAGTTCTAGTTTGTGACTGAGATTGGCTGTGTTGCTTTGGGCCTGAGATAAGACAGTATCTTGTGGCAGAGAACATGTATTCACTTCATGGTGGACCAGGGAGCAAAACAAAAAAGAGGTGCTGTGCTCCACACATCCCCTTCAAGGGCATGCCCCCATATGACCAGGAAGCGTCCCTATCTCTGAACGGTTCCACCACCTCCAAGAGTGCCATGGGCTGGGGACTAAGCCTTTGGGGATTTAGTCATGGGCCTTTGGGGGGGCATTGTTTTCTCAGTCCCAACATGTTTAAATCTCACATTTCTGCCCTCATAGGCCAGACATGAATTCTGCTATAAGGAGAATTAATTGCTTATAATGTCAGCAACATGTAAAGGTTTAAAGTGCAAAACATTGACTCCAGAAGTTTCAAGAGAAGATTAGTTCGTCAGGTAGTTATTGAATAGATCCTAGATTCTAGAATTGACCTAAGTTCTGAAAATACAACAATGGACACATAAAATTTTCACCTTAAAAAGTTTACATTCAAGGCGAAGGAGCAGATTACTATAAAAAATAAGTTCATATGTGTACAATGTCTGGCAATAAACTGGAATTTTATTCTGCTTGGTTGTTATAAATAAAAATAAAGACAAAGAAAGGCAGGCTGTCTGGCTGTATTGATTAGAATCCATTTTATCTGAACCAGGCTTCATGTCTTGAGCAGGTTTTCCTCTGTTACTCTTCAAGTAAGATTGACACATGACAGTCCTACAACAGTCACCTTGTATCTGACAATCTTCTCCCTTCTTATTCTCAGGTCAAGAAAATTTACCTGGATGAGAAGAGACTCTTGGCTGGAGACCATCCCATTGAGCTTCTCTTGAGGGACTTTAAGAAAAACTACCACATGTATGTGTATCCTGTGCACTGGCAGTTTAGTGAACTGGATCAGCATCCTGCGGACAGGTAGAAACCCTTTACATTTTCTGGTGTAATGATATCTATGTGAAACGGAACTTGAGATCCAGTTGGGAATGTTTCCAGCTTCACTTTTGAATACTAAATATAAACCATCGTGTTAGGAATCTAATTAAAAATCACTTAGAATATAATTTAACCTGTCAGCAGCACAGTTCCCGAATTACCATACTGAGTTTCCTTATCAAATCTCTGAGTTTCCCACAGAGATGCCTTCAGTTCTCACTCATGAACTAAATCCTCAAGGTAATCTATTGTCCCAACTTAGGTCAACTGCCACTTCTAGGACAACCCAGGCTAGACAGGAAGTGAGAGACAGCTCTCACAAGCACAACTTTTGGGTGCACATTCAGAGACAGAGATTGGAGGATTCTCAGTGAAGGGGTGAACCTCGGGCGCCATAACCCATTCTCGCCTACAGCTTTTTGATTGACTTACACAGTGACTTCGTAGAAGAAAACGTCCTTGGTGATCAAGACTTAAGTCCTCATGCACAAGCCATGCAGTTAGCTGACTGTCATTGTTCATTTGCAGGATTTTGACACATTCTGAACTTGCTCCTCTGAGAGCTTCCCTGGTGCCCATGGAACACTGCATAACACGCTTCTTTGAGGAGTGTGACCCCAACAAGGATAAGCACATCACCTTGAAGGAATGGGGCCACTGCTTTGGAATTAAAGAAGGTAAGTTTATTATCAAAGAACCATGTCTTCTTCTTCTTCTTCTTCTTCTTCTTCTTCTCCTTCTCCTTCTCCTTCTCCTCCTTCTCCTTCTCCTCCTCCTCCTCCTCCTCCTTCTCTTCTTCTTTTCCTTCTTCTTGTCCTCCTCCTCCTCCTTCCTCTTCCTCTTCCTCTTCCTCTTCCTCTTCCTCTTCCTCTTCTTCTTCTTCTTCTTCTTCTTCTTCTTCTTCTTCTTCAGATAAACACTGAGTCCTGTAGCCTGACAGGAAGATCCTGATGTAAAGTGTGCTTGTTCGTTTTTGTGTGTGTGTGTGTGTGTGTGTGTGTGTGTGTGTTCATGTATGGAGCGCATATGTGTACACATGCACCTCTGTTGTCTTTCCTCAGGTGCTGTCTACTGTTTTGTTTTTGTTTTTTTTAGGCAAAGTTGCTCATTGGCCTGGAATAGCCAGCCAGTAAGCCCTAGAGATTCACCGCTTTCTTCCTAGTGCTGGTATTACAAGCAGGCACCACCACATCGACTTTTTTATGTGGGTTCTGGATATCAAACTCAGCTCTCCATGCTTGCCTGGCAGATCCCTTACCAACTGAGCTAGGTCAAGCTGCCGCCTCAAGGTCTTTTCTCACTGCCTTGGTGTATAGCAAGAAAGAGTATCCACCGGGAAGTCAGCAGTTAAGCCTAAGAAAGCCACTCAAAGCCAGAATTCTGTGCTGAATCTCAGAAGGAAAGACTTTACATCTTCACTACCCTGAGGATAGGTCATTTGGAGATAAAATAGTGAGCTTCTGACTGGGGGAAGTATCCACCGATACCTTAGAATTCAGAACCCACCAACTCAACACAAATCTTACATCACAAGCACTACCTAGAATGGTTGATAGCTGCATCTTCAGTGACAGGTGAAGGCAAGGATGATTTTTTATTATCCTAACAACAGCTAATTTAAATTTGCACATTGTTGTACTGAATTGCATCTTAATCTACCCCCTTTCCTTTTCTTAAGAGTTGACTTTCATGAGTCAAAATACTTAGTAATCAGTTATGAGATATGCCCCAACTGTGTGCATTGAAACTATTCATAGAATGCAGATCAAGTAAACATTGAAGTGAACATCGGAGAGAAAAAGAGCCAGGAAGACAGACAGACAGCAGACAGACAGAGACAGAGAGAAAAATTGTCCAACCAAGAAGATGGTTCCTTCAATACACTATTTGTCGTGTGAGCATGAAGACCTGAGTTTGACACCCCACACACACACCCGTGTAGGAACGCCAGGCATGTTGGCAAGGATTTGTCATCATAGTGCTGATAGGACCTCTGGGGCTTTCTGGATAGCAAGTCTAGTCTTCCTTACAAAGTTCCAGACCATAGAAAGGCCACATCTCAAGATGGGTAAAGGGACTGGAGAAACAGCTCAGTGATTCAGAGTACTTGCTGCTCTGGAAAAGGACCCAGGTTCAATTCCCAGCACTAAGTAGAGGCTCACAACTGCCTGCAGCTACGGTTCTTAGGGACCTGATGGTTCTGACCTCCAAAGGCCCCTCCATGCATGTGATGCATGTAGATGGACTCAGGAACACACAGACACATACTCTAAAAAAAAAAAGAAAAGAATGTTTGCTGTCTGTGTGTTTCTGTGTATGTCTCTGTATATACAGGTCTTTAATCCCAGAACTCAGGAGATCTCTGTGTGTTCCAGACCAGCCTGGTCTATATAGTGAGTTCCAGGCCAGTCAGAGCTGCATCAAAAAAAACTTGTCTCAAAACACAACAATAACAACAACAACTAGGAAAATACTGAGTAACGACACTGAGGTTGTTTTTTGTCCTCCATGCACACCTGTGCATTTGTACTCCCTTACCCCACTATGCACACACAGAGATGCTTTATGGATAGATTTAAAAACACATATGGATGAATATACATTCAAGCAGTAAGAAAAGCAAAATCATCAAAGGTCGAAGAGGTTATCTGTGTGACCTTCACCCTAGAAGTGAGACCTGATAGTGTCAGAGCTGAGCTATTTATAGCTCAGCTGCTATAAGATCCTGCTGCTATAAACAGTTCTGCCTGAATAAACTTAGTGATGAGCCTGTTTCTGTGAGCACCTCGGTATACTACAAAATAGATCATCCCCAGATTAGGAGCTTAACTTCCTGCCAGGGTCAGGAGTCTGGAAGTCACTGGCCTGGACGGGTCTGGCTTAGGGTCATGTGATCAGCCTGTGAGCTAGTGTAGTGGACATCTGCAGGATCAGCTTCTAAGACTGGGCTGTCTGCAGCTGGCTTCAGGCCCCCACCATGTGGTAGCACCTACAGCATGAGACCTGGTTTCTCCCTTAGTAACCCATGGCTGAAGTCCATGTCACCTCATCACGTTCTGTCAGTCACATAGGACAACCCTGTCTCATTGTAGGGGAATACGGACCATGAGGGATCGTGAACCTTGACAATATTGATAAGAAATTAATATTTCTAATAACTTACTAGTCTCAGACTGAGACAAAAATATCAGTTTCCTTTCTAACACCTATTCTTCAAGTAGAATATTTATATACTCAAAGATATCTACTTCAAGGAAAATAGTTATATATTCAAATATATCCCTCTCAAATGGTTAAGTCTGTCTGTTCAACTCCTTGGGAACCACTAAGGTGGGCCAGGACATTTTTGTATACATCTTCTTACAAGACTTGGGATTTTAAAGTCCTGATTTTAAAAAATAAAAGGCAAATTTGCATAAAGGCCACTTACTTAAGAAAAGAGTTTTGCTTCTCTGGATCCTTTTCAAAAATGTCTGCAAGTTCTTGCACATGTCAGCCTCCCCAGGCTCTGCAATGGAAGGTTGTCTGGGAGGAGCAAGAGAGGTCAAAGCCCAGTGACTTGCAAAACTACTAATTGTCTGGTTTGTCACTGTGGTCTGGCTGGTGTGATGCTATTTTGAAGTCGGGAGATTATCACATATCAAGCCAATAAGGCTGTCATTAAATGTTCCATTAGAATAAGCAAACCAGTTATCACGTTGGGATACAGCAGGGCAGGGCAGAGAGAGAATGGCATTTCTTTATAACTGTACTTTCTGCCCTGTGGAAGCTACTATGAGCACAGAAGAAGAAGATAAACTTTAGCCAGCATTTTTCTGAATTTCAGCTGCCTGTGATCTAAACTAGTCATGCCCTTATGGCATAGCTCTGCCATTAGCCAGCTGTGCTCATCAGGGCATGCCACCTGCCCTAAGTCCGTCTCATCTTTAGCTGTAAAAACAAAGTTCTGAAGAGTTGTGGGAGGATCTTCATTTATTTAGCTTTGATGATGTACCATGTTTTAGTTAGGGTTTCTACTGAGATGATCAACAGCATGACCAGCAACATGAGGGAAGAGGCTCCTTCCAGCTTACAACTCTCGGGTCACATAATCCCTGAGGGAAGTCAAGCAGGACAGGAACTTGTAGGAAGGAGCTGATACAGAGGTCATTGTGGATGCTACTTACTGGCTTGCTCTCCAGAACCCAGAACCACCTGCTGGTGGGGCAGCCCCACTCACAGTGGGCTGGATCCTTCCATGTCAATCAACAATCCAGAAGATGCGCCCACAGGCTTGTCTACAGGCCAATCTGGTGGGAACATTTTCTCAACTGATTTTTCCTCTTCCCTGATGACTCCAGCATGTGTTGAGTTGAAAAACAAAACAAAGCAAACAAACAAACAAACAAAAAACCCAACCAATACTCCACCTATTGACATCTACTCCCATTATTCTTAGAGAAAAAAAGGAAACTATAAAGGAAACTACTAGGGCAGTAATGAGACCACACAGGCTCTCCTAAGCCCTTCAAAGACTTTCTTATAAGAGTGTTGGGGCATCAACAAACAGGAGAGTCCTATGGTTACATTGCAGAAAGAATAAAGAGCAGCTGAGAATCTTGTGGTAAAACCAGGAGTTGATAAGAACCTGACTCCAAAATGGTTGTGGGGAAGAAGGCAATGCGGTCAAGAAGTCTTAAAAATAGACACATACCCAGCCTGGAATTTATCCAGCCTTGGAATATAAGGAGGAAAAGGCTGGTGGGAAACATCAGGCAGGAAGCAGACAGCTGAGAGAATCCAGAGCATTGGATGTGCCAGAGCAATGGCAGTGTCCCCATGTGGGCCTTTGGCCCAGCAAGATAACTGGAAGCACTTTGCTCTGAGGTAGGAAACAGAAGGCCAGAATCAGATTTGGATTAATGACAAATTCCATTTGGGCATGCTAAAATTTCAATTACTTGTAAGGCAAATACAATCCATAGCTCAACATTGAGTCTGGGTTTCAAGAGAGAGTTTAGAAATTGAAATATATACTTGGGAAGTTGTGGATATAATTCAGTGGTAGAATTCTTACCTCTCACATGCATGGCCCTGGGTTTATCCCCAGGGAGAGAAGAGAGCGATGGGCATATAGGAAGCAATTGAAACTAAAGACGGATTATAAAGATAAAGTCAAAGAAACTGTATGAAGTGATCAGGAAGAGGTCTATAATTGAACACCAAGGAATTACAAAGTGTGGATTACAGACAGTAGAGAAGGGGTTCAGAAAGGTGAATGAGCAGTCACCCCCAAAATGAGGGACTGCAGGAGAGTTTCCTGTCAAAGAAGGTGGTGCAAAGGAGGGGAGGAGACAATGCTGATTGTAGGAAGATCAAAAGAGGAAACTATCCACAGGCCCATCGATGAAGGAATAGGGATGCCCATGCAGTCATGACACAGCGACTCTGGTCCAGAATGTGCATTGCGAGTCTGGGAGGGCAAGGCTGTGTCTGCCATCCATTCAGTTGCACATGACTCCACTCAAAGCTCAGCCGAGCTGCGCCTAACTCACTCTGCAGCATTTCAGCCGCCCTCCTTACTTGACACTTCCTATGATCCTCCCGGTCGCCTGCCGTTCCTCCTTTGATGGTTCTCAATAGTACAAAGAATTTCAGAAGAACTGCCTAAGGATTCTGCTGTCTACCCCAGGAATTCTGATTCCAGGAGCCAGCGGTGAAACCTAGAAACATTTTCAAAAGTTCAAATTATGATGAGAATCTCTCTCATACCGCCTTCTTAGATGGTTTCGCTCACTGACGGCTCTAACCTTCCTTGCATTTGTGGTTTCTTAGATGACTTTTCTTAGATGACTTTCTAAAACGTCGTCTGTCTGTCTGTCTGTCTGTCTGTCTGTCTGTCTAACCATCTGTTTGCTTGTTTGTTTGTTTGTTTGTTTATTTATTTATTTATTTATTTTTGCAGAAGACATAGATGAAAACCTCCTCTTTTGAGTTAAGATTTGAGAGAATTGAAACTTTCCATCTGCCTCGCCTGCTTTAACCGCTTCGGAAATATGAGCAGCCGTGCCACTCTTCATTCATATGTAGCAAGACGTGTGTTTGCATGTGAGACAAGACAGTGGGAGTAATTGCTTCTTGTTGACATATATATATTTGAGCCACGCACTTAACATTAACTTAGGAATAAAAGTTAAAAATTAAGTAGAGTTGATGTCTGTAAAAGACTGTCCTGTCTGAGGACAGTTACCCATGGCAATGTAACTCTGTGCATCTGCATTTATAACTGATAATCATAAACTATTAAAAAAAAACAGTGTTCATACTGTCCATAACACCTTACACATGCTAAGGAAGTGGGACACTGCTCCTTGAGATTAACATGCCTCATTTTCAGTGTCTCGCTGTCCAAATAAAAAGTCTATAGAACCTCAAATGTCTGCTCAAGATTATTTCCAGTTTTAAAACAATCAAATGTAAAAGACCAACCCAGGGCTTACGTTAGAGAATAAAATGGAACTCTGCTTGTTAACTACTGGAAATAAAAAAAAAGTGTTTTTAAAGGAAAGATGGAGGTGTTTTCTGCGGCAAAAAAAAAATTGTTACAAACTAATTGTAAATCCTTTTTGTCATTATGTACGATGTAATGGGGAGAGAGGGAAATGAGTTGAACTCAATTGGTTTTTAGCCAAGTTCAGTTTAAAATGTGGGTGATTCTACATTGCTTTATCCAACCAATTCAAAACTCTGTTCAGTGGGGCATGTGCATAGGAAAGACAGAGGTCTGAAAACTCTGTGATTCATTTCTCAAAGTGAAAGAGAGAGAGGAAGAGCCGTGGGGCTGCCGAGATAGCCAAGGCTGTGACGGAGCGGCACTTACTCCCGGGGCCTGGGTCTTAGAAATGTGTGTTTCTAATGGGGCTTTCCTGTTATGCTAAAACTGTGGGCATGATTATAAACTTATAACTACATACATATATACTAATTATTTATATTTAATATGTATTCATTATATGTAATATATATACTAATGTATATAATATATTTATAATAATATATTTGTAAATTATAATGTCTATAATTATAAAAGCACCATATGGTTTTCCAATATCTGAAGTGAGGCACCAAAAGTTCCTCAGATTCATTTTCTTCCTCTTTTATAATGTTTATAAGAAAGTCAGAGGTTATGTAGTTTTTCTATTGAAATCAAAGCTATCAAAACAGATTTCTTCAATTTTTTTTTATTTTATGAGATCAATAAGTCACTTGTTCTTTAACTAAAACTACATTGTCCTTTCTAGGTTCAATTTGACTAGCCAAAATCTAATTATTTATTTTTATCAAATAGGAAATTAATTTTAGAAGTTATTCTAAACTTCAGACCACATTTATGCATACCAAAGTTTCTTAATTAGAAGCCATTTTTAGAAGCTATGTTTTAGAAATCACACTTTATAATTCTACTAGGCAAATGTCACTTAGACCTAAATTTTATTTTACTCTCAGGCAACTTTGTAAAAATGCTTTAAAATAAGGAAAACTGAATTTAATATTATTAAAGATGCCATCTAAACATTTACTTAAAATTTTTTATGTGAAAAATCATTTTCATTTTGAAATGAAAATCCTAAGAATGGACATGTTCAAATCTTACACAAGTCTTAGGGACTCCATATTACAGACTTAGGACAGGTCACAGAAGCACATTCATGTTCTTGGTGGTTAGTTTTTAATAATCAGTTGGTTATGATAAAGAATTGCTCTGATCCCAGCCAAGGAGATGAAGCCATCTTCTTAGTAATCAGTCTTTAAGTCTATCTCTGTAATTGTGATCTTTTAGAAAGCTGAGTTTCTCATCTGAAGCCAATTGCTCAGTTTATCATTGAACTGGTGAGTCATATTGTCTATGACCATGTAGGCATTAGTGATACAGCTTAAATACTAGCCAGGTAGAGGGATGTCAGACCACACTGCTTCCCGAATCTGTTGCTCCAGGGACCATTTAAAGCACAGGTAACTAAAGCAATATAATTTATTACTGTTTAAAGTATGTGGGATATTCTTGGGTTGAATAGTTCAATGTCCACTTACTAAAATAAGAAAGAAATTTTAGAGTTTGGATCCTGAAAATATGCCAAGGAAAAATATGAGACAGAAAAGGAAGCCCAAGCTCAAGCCCAGTGATTCAAACTCAGCCCAGGTTAAGCTTAAGCATGTCATAGCAGCAGGCGGATAATCGAGAGATGGATGGAACTTGCCTCAAATGTTGGGGACCAGTCTTCATAAAAATATGGTGAAGCTGTTCTTTCATAACCAAATTCCATAGTACAATGATGTAGCTTAAAATGCAGTGGGTAAGTTAATTCTAAATAAATATGATTTTACAAATGTGAAGGTTTACTTCAGAAATGTTAGTTCCAAAGGGACTTCCTTCAGTTACTTTATCGACTTTACTCACGTCATGCATGTTCTTATCAACCCATTACGCCTTGCAAATTTTTCCCATATAATTTCCTTCCTAATGGACTATAATTGTCAACAACATCCAGGGCATGTGGACTGGTCAGTCTCACGAAGGCACAAGCGTTCTCTGTGCATTCTGCAAAATGTGTTCCCACCTTTTAGCCATGATGGCCACGTCCTCACTGTAACAGCAAAGACAAAAAGTCTGCACAGACATCACAGTCTCAAGTCACTTCAAGGGCAGCAGAGCTGGATGTAGGCAGAACTGTGAGGTGTAAGAAAGAGGGGGAGCTACCAGTAATATAACAAGCCAGAGAATGTCTAATTTAAAAGCTTTTTAAAGTTTTTCCAAGCAATTTATTTTATTAAAAATTGCAAGTGTAGAGGCAGGATTTCACCTGACCGCTGTCAGCATGTGTACCTCAATCATCCATTCACTATGGAAACAGGACGAGGAGGGAAACTAGACGGGATCACCTAGTCCTTCACCTCCAGACTCTCCCTTCAGAATGAAGCTTTTGCTGGTGGCCGCCCTGCTGAGCACTGCAGCTGCTCAGCCAATCCCTGTAAGTACTCAGCTCTTCCCTCAACCACCATGGTGAGTCATCAGATTTCTGAGCTACAAAGTATCTTTACAGTTCATAGAAGAGAAAAGTGGAGTTCAGGAATGTAATGGGGTTGGTAATCTCCCTGGGGTCCATAATCTCTCTGGGTCTAAGGCTCAGGCTCAGTGTATCAAAGCTAAACTCTGCAGACAGTGGTGACTTTGGGCAGTAACTAACTCATGCTTTCCCTGTCAAATGAGTTAGAATGATTCCAGAGTGTATAAATGATTAAAAATGGCTCTAAAACACTTAAAATCCTACTTGCAACAGAAAGCTCTCAGCAATATAAAACAAGTACTCTACAGGGACCCAGGTGGGAAGTTAGCAGTTGAGCTGAGCTTCGTTTATACTGCCCTACATCATCGAGGGTAAAGGCTTCTCTCAAAGATGCCCTGACAGACTTGATTTTACAAAGATGGCTGTTTAAGACTACCTCCACTAGTTCTAAGCTAATATTTAAAATGTTATGTCTGAAATATACAGCCCAGGAGCATGACAATTAAAATATTACACATGGGATGTCTTTCCTGTACCATCTTGGAAAAAGAGGTTTGGATAACAGCCTATGTCCATGTGCAGTGTGCCCAGACAACAAACCAGTCTGTTGTATTAGGTCAGAGTCTCTCCTTGCAACATTAACAAGAACTGCCAGTGGAATGCACTCTTGGTGGTGCTGGGGCTCAAACCCAGGGCACTGCACATTCAGGGCATATGCTTTTTCACCTAGTTACATCCCCAGCCCAGACAAGCGTTACTGTCCTAAGTACCAAATGAGATACACTGCTTGTCTCTGTAGGAATGCTGTGCTAATGAGATTGTTGTAGTATACACATTTAACTACATTTAGCATGTGCTTTCTTCATCTGTGAGCATCTCTGAAAATGAGCAATGTCTCACCCACGGTGTGATAATGCATCATGCCCACTTAACAGCAACCCTTGCTCTGGTCTGTGAAATAATGGTGTATTTTATGACACTATTTTGAGCACATAAGACACAGTGATAAAACACCACCAGCTGAACCTTTTGTTGTACACTGGCTACAGTCACACTCTCCACTTCTGTAATAAGTGAGACCAGAACAACTTACATTTATTATAGATAGTGTCCAGCTCCAGTTAAGCATGAAACCCTCTCCCATGCATATTATTGCAACAAGAGGGCTTTCAAAGGAATGGGAGATTATTCAGAGGTTGTGGGGAGATTACAGAATTTAAGCTAAGACTCATACTCCCTTCACCTTGAACTTCTAATACTGAAAGCAAATCTAGAGCTGTACTGGTGCCAAATATACCAGTATAAGGTGTGTATCCTTTACCAATATAAGGTTTGTAATCTTAAAAGGAACTTTGGGGGGTAAAATTTTAAAGCCAAAATAATGTTTTGTGGTCTAAGTCATTGGACAAAAATCAACTCAGCATTTCCCCATTAAATATGAAACTTACTTCAGAGGTGGATGCAAGATAGGCTGTCAGACAGAATGCTCACAGGACGAATTTAGGCTGTTCTCATATAAAGTAAATGTCTTGATGGAGAGCATGAACGGCTTCCAGCTGCTTCACTTTGTTGCTTTTCTTGTTTTCAAGCTTGGACAGTCTGGAGGAAGTTCCAGTGAACAGGTACACTGTACTGCAAATGGCACGTTCACCACTTAAAAGCTGTCAAGTTCGCAATTGGAATGATTCACGTGGTGTTTCTGTTTACAGAGATTTAACTTTTACCCACCACAAATCCTGCCGTTCTTTCCTCAGTTTCCTCTTCCGCAGGCTCCTCTGGTAAGTAGGGTGTGGAAAGTCTCAAGTCTATCTTCTGGGTGATGGTTATTAAACTTTCCAAACTGTGACCCAGAAATATGACGCTAAAAAAAAAGCTGCAGGCTGTTTACAGTCTTCTCCCAGTGCAGCTTGCATTGGACAGTGACACCCGACTGGTAAACCTGTGTCCAGCACTGTGACTTGTTTCTGGCACTGTGACCTCTCTCCATGTTCCTCTTAGTCAACATGTGCTTGTGCCAATGATGCTGACTGTGAAAAGCCTCACTCTTCATGAGGTGAAATGCTAGCCACTGTGACAGCCATTCTGTATCTGTTACTAAACCACTTTTCCACTTTCTTTTCTCCTATAAAAATGTCCTCAGGTTTCTATAAGTTTTTGTTACAAGTCAAAGCAAATATTTTCCTTCTTTGCTGACCCCTTGATGTCTCCTAACAGATTTTTAGAGCTGTCTCGGTGAGGGCTGGAAAAATGAGGACATGACAGGGGCACTTTTGATACATGCTCCCAGACAAAAAACACTGGCTAGGCTTTAACTCAAACCCTTCCCAAGGAAGACAGGCCCTGGGCAACGAAAAGGAATCCATGGTGAATGGTGGAAGCTCTTCCTTCCCGCCAGCAGAGGGCTGTCTGTGTGTTAAAGCAAGCAGAAGGTCACCCGTGGCAGAGAACACAGGAGAAATTGATGGGCTTGCAAGAAAATGAACACTGGACACAAGGCAGATCTCCAAGCACTTAGTTTAACCAATCAAGCAAAATAGTTATAACTCCTAAAAGGAAAATAGTATACGCAATCCATAGCTTTGTGAGGACAGTGGTCTTGTTTATTACCGTCTCAGTCCTAGAGGCATAAACCCACTCAACACACACCCAGAGGCTAAAGGGAGGAAGAACAGAAAGCAGCAGGGAACAGGCTTGTTTTGTCTTGCCCACAGCTCTCCTTCCTTTTCTTTTTGTAGATCCCGATTCCTTTTCCTTTTCCTTTTGATTCAAATCAGGTAAGTGTACTTAAAAACCTCCCTTAAGAAGATACTTAAATGATTAAAACTTTAAAACTTATTTTGTTTGATTTAAAGAGCTTAATGTACAATTCCTATATATCTCTGACCTGAAGTGCCTAACAATGTGTTTATTTTACCATATCATCCAAATTTTAAATACTATTGGGACTGTGAGAGAAAGCCATTGGCTTTCTTTCATGACCATTTTCCCCTAAATATAACACAGTGAGCATGTGTGAGTTATCATTACAAGATGTCCCTACTGTGCTGAGACCCCACAAGGCAAACTGTGGAGTGTACATTTCCAGAGATGGCTTTTTTCAAAAGGTGTGGGAGAGGTTGTAAACTATCAGTGATACAGATTTAATGATGGAATTTTAGAACTGCTAGGAGTCTTAAAACTATGTCTCCATTTACCAGGCTAATTCAAAGTTGTAGATCAAAGTTGAAACACTACATTGTAACTCTTGGTTTGTTCTGTTTCTTTTATTCCAGGTTCTGACGCCTAATCAACTTCTGGCGGTAAATACATTTTGTTCTGTTCATTCAGTTCATCCAGCTAAAACATGACAAGGCGCGAGCTTTATTACTGATTCCAGTTAAGCGATAGAGTAAGGAGTTGGAAAACCTAGAAGAACAGAATAAAGTGCTTTAGGAAGAGAAGATAGATGAATTGCCACAGCATGTAATATGTGAAGCCTTATCAAATCTAAACCCCAAAGGAGGGTTGCATGTTTTTGAGACAAGCTCTATATAGTCCTTGGTGGCCTGGAACTCAACATGTAGACCAGGCTGGTCTCAACTTCTATGATGCTTCTGCCTTTCTCTCTGCCTCTCTGTCTCTGCCTCCTCCGCCTCCTTTCTGCCTCTGCCTCTGCCTCCTGCCTCCTCTCTGCCTCCTCTCTGCCGCCTCTCTCTCTGCTGCCTCCTGCCGCTTCCTGCCTCTGCCTCTACAGTGCTGGGATTAAAGGCATGCACTGACATGTCTGACCTACAAGATGCTTTTTAAATTAACTGCACATAATTCAACTGTTTAATGAATTGTTTACTGGTTTGTAAATTTCTTAGAGTATCACTTTATGAAAAATATCAAAGGAATACTTTGAATATAATTACAAAAAATAAAACTAAGAAATTCTAGGTCTTTCTAAAACACACAAACATTTTTGAAAATTGTATTTCATAACAAATATTATTCCTTCAAATGCTATTAATAAAACAAAGGCTTCAGGGCCTCCCTCTGTGACTGATTACTGGTGATTTTAAAGTCACCAAGTGGGCCTTCTAGTCCAAGCCCTGCTGCAGGAGCACCCAGCATCCAGTGCTGGGAACCAAGGTCCTGATGTCACCTGTAGAGTTGACCCAGCTTTGTGGCTTTGCTCAGTCTGCCAGCATGGAGAGCAATGACCTGCCTGATCTCTGAGTATGTGCTCTCTTCAGAGAATCTGACTCACTCAAATCCTTCCTCCCTCCTTCCCTCCCTCCCACTACCCCTTTCTCACCCTCCCCCAACACTCAGTCCCCAGAATGCTGCTTATACATAAGAACACTGAAGCTGGCTTTACTATCCCTACATGGTCTGGGGCAGGCAGCTTTGTACATATTACAATTAGACCAATCCAGTCTCTTGAAGAAGCTGCTGAGTGCTGGGATTAAGGCGTGTGCCACCACTGCCTGGCTGCTGCTGAGCTCTTAAGGAAGCTACAGAGTAACCATCACCAGTAAACAGCTGTGTAAGCAAATCTGCAAGACAAAGCTCCCATTCATAGCTCTGCCTGCAATAAAGCATTCGGTGCATTCACATTCATAATCAAAATGCCACTTGCTCAGAGTGGACCACAGTTTCTTCAGCTTTCTAATTTTCAAATACAGTACATATAGTTAGAAGGTAGAGAAAAGTATTTCTGTAAATTAAAGAAATTTGAATTATCTTCAATCTTGTACAAGTCAAGTACAATTTCCAATGAAACATTCACAATCAAAACATTTCAACTGACACATGTACTAAGGTGAATATAAATCAAAAGGCAAACCCACTGAGAGTACTTACCCTTTTCTTCTTTTACAGTTAATTACTTCTATTTTGAACCAACTGCAGGTAATTCTTATTTTCATAAACTACAAAGTCACTAAGTGAACTGTGCTTAGTATTTAACTTTTTTCTTTCTTTCTTTCTTTTTTTTTTTTTTAGGGTTTCCTTGGGGTAAGTTTTTATTTCTGGTTATATTGAGAAAGGTAACATCCATTGTCAGGGAAGGGGAGAATAACTCCTCTAAATCAACCCAATACATTAAGACAATTACAGCCCATGGTGTTATGAATTCAGTTCCTAGACCTTTAGATCTGAGTTTCTGAATCTCTAACAGTAAGTATCCTTTCACAAGGTGAGTTTCACAGAATTTAAGATTATAGACATCAACACAGTCTTAGGTAATGAACTCTGAAGTACTTAACACTTTGCCTTAGACTTGCTTCTGTCTGATAGACAGTTCAGAGGCAGACTGAGGAAAGCCCACTGTAAAATTACCAAACCCAGCCATGGCCTGATCTCAAAGCAATTACAATCCCAATTTTAAGGGGGGAAAAATATGTTTTCACCCCCCAACATTCCTAGTAGTGAGTGTCGCTGCCCTGGAATTCTACTAGTACTTTTTGTTTACCACTGTGAAGACTCCCCTCCATCAGGCCTCCACACACCACATGGAAGAAACTACCATCTAGTTAACACAAAATCCTTAAGGCTTCAGTTTCTCAGCGTTCACCGTTTACCAAAGCACATGATTTTCTATGCCAGTTGCATGATCACACCAGTATTAACACATCAACAACAAAAGAATCATAAGATGGGAGAGGCTGATGGAGGAGGGAAAGGAATTCTGAAAATGTTTCAGATATTAACAGTAAATGTGCTGTCTATTTCAACAGAGATAATCTTCTCTGCTACACCAGAAGACATGCAGTGAGTAAAATCTTCAAAATCTTTCATGAACTAATATGTAAATGAAATATTTCAATTTTTTATCGTAAGAGTTTTATCACCACAGATGGCGTCTCTGTTAGTAAATTAACACCATGATAAAAGCAATTCAGAAGACCACAGGGTGTGTTTCTCCAAGGATGTTTTGTAACTGTATTTAAGTGGGCTGGGCTGTGGCTCAGTGGAAAGACTGCTTGCCCGGCATGCAGAAGGCCCTGGGGTCCACCCAGAGCACCACAATATAATAAAATATACATTTATTTAGCAAGACTCCAGAACTATCCTAGAATATATACATCACAGAAGTCCTGAGTATTTAAAACATCATTTTAAACTGAGTGGCCTTAAAAAATAGCTTGAATTTTCAAGTTCCCTCTTCATCTACCACACTTTTAACTTTAAGATAATTATGACATTAAGTAAAATGAGGATCTAATATTTATATTTAAAATTTTTTAAAAGTTCAAGAGTGCCTGTGTCAGACAAATGCTGACTGTGGCTATTATCCTTAGATTAAGAAATTATGAAATGAACTGTCTTTGGCCTAAAATTATGCACAATTTCAACAGCACTAGCCAATCAGACAGGGCCTTTTCACTTTGTGTACCACCATGGCTATAAAGTCCTATCTATCAGAATTTACATCACGACACATAGTTTATATAACAGTCTCCTTGAGGAGAAACTCACAATGGCACCAGAACCTTGGTGTAGAATACGGCAGACAAGAGTGGGCTCTGGGTCTGGGGAGGTGGAGACCAAATCTTAGCTCGGTTCCTTAGGGGAAAAGATCTTGAACAAACCATTCCAAATTCAACTGCCTCACCTGTGAAATGCCTGAGGCTGGAGTGGCACTCAGTAAGAGTGACCTAGCTTTCCCAGTGACTCTACCAAAGCCTCTAAGAGGAGAAAACATGCCGAATATGATCGAGCACAAGGGGTTGGGGAGACGGACCCCCAGTGACCAGGAGTGCACACTCCTGACAGGAAGGTCAGAAGCTAACGGTTTCAATGTTTCTTCTATTGCAGGTGGTCCAGGTTATTTGCTTTGTTATCTGCAGTTTGGAATGGTCTTACAATCTTGTAGACTCTATAGTAAACATTCTGTGAAACATCAAATACCACAGGCAAATCTACTATCTACAGCCGTATGCTCTAAATAAAATTCTCACTAAAACTCCCGTGTGGATTGCAGTTCGGTGTTGTAGTGACTGCTCAGTTTCTTGAAAGCTTCTAAAAGCAGTTCGGTCTCAGTGCTTGGAAACAGCATAGCCTCCAAGCCAGGGTCACCCAATCCCTCCTGGGCAGCCATCCTCACCAAGACCAGGAGCCCTTGATATGCCCTAGTATCAGGCATTTCTGGACTTTGAAAAATAACCCATCAAAAAGAGTTCATTTTGTTCTTGCTTCCTCCTCCTGCTCTGTCCCCTCGCCCCTTCCCTCCCTCTCTCTCCACATGTTCATGGCCAGCAACCTCTACTCCTTTTCTTCTTCTCCTTCTCCTTCTTCTCCTCCTCCTCCTCCTCCCTCCCTCCCTCCCTCTCTCTCTCTCTGCCTTTCTCTACCTCTACTACCCTCTTGACTCCCCTCTCCATGCCCTGAATAAACTCTAGTCTATACTTAAAAAAAAAGAGTTCATTTTGAAATTGAACATCTCAAAGCTCCTCCAAAGACATCATTTATACTACAAAAAGGTTTCCCATAAGCTCAGCTCAGCTCTGGTTTACCACAGACCACTCCAAACAACACACACTCCACCCCCTTTGTGCTAACTGTCTAGCCACAGATTGATCGGTATTGTCAAATCCCAAGAAGACAGAAGCACCTTTTCCCTACACCTGAGTCTTCAGAGGTCCCACTGCATCCCAGATGGAATAAAGCAAGCATGAGTCTCCAGTTCAAGCTGACTGGACTTGCCAAGGGACAGCCCTGATCAGCATGTGACACCTGGATTCATGGAGTAAGACAGCATTACTTCCCTTTCATTTTCTTTTGAAGGGACCCCACCAACACAGTCTCTGCTTCATCTGAGATTTATAATATTGGCCACACAGCTCTGAAAAACTTCAGTCCTTATCCTTATCCTTATCAAAGCCCATCTGAAATCACAGAGGTGCCCTGCTCACCTTGACTACTTGTTCACGGTATCTATTCTTTGTCTTATAGTAGATATGATCAAGTGAAATCTCTATAAATTACTCATTCACCTAGGCATATTTTTAAGTTTTAGATAATCTAAAAATGAGAATACAAATTTCTATTCATTTTGATCTCTAGCTACAAGAATAACTGAGACACGGTGAGACTCAACCTATCTATCAATCAATCAAGCAAGCAATCAATCAAGCAATCAATGGGATAACTCAAATTGTATTACAAAAACTGGTACCTCAGGCTAGAGGGACGGCTGAGCACTTAAGAGCACTGGCTGTTCTTCCAGGACAAGGGTTTGATTCCCAGTGCAAGCACGAAGGCCCACATGCATGAAGACCCACATGCATGGAGGCTCACAAGCATCTACAAATCTAGTTCCAGGGGATCCAGGGCCCTCTTCTGGCCTCCTCAGGCACTGAATGCACATGGAACAACATGAAGCAAACAGTTAAAAGGGAATCAGGTGGGCCATTAAGCAGGGGGCCCCTCCAAGGGAAGTCCAGTTCAGCAGTACCTCTAAGGGTAGTGAGAAAAGGTAACAAAAAGAAGCAGAAACACAAGTTACCAGCAGTTGGGTTTTATATTTATTGCAACTACAATTTTTCAAAGAACATTAATTATTTAAAGTTCTTCAGGCATGCTTAAATATATACAAAATGACAGTCTCTAATCCCTCTGAGAAGAAAGCTGAACACTCAGTGTTCTTCATTGTATTCAGGTATTTCACCTTGTTGCAAGCCTTTCCAGGTGGCCTTAGAGGAGTGTCAGTTCTGCAGCACTACTGTGTGCTCTCCAGCCTGTGGCCCACTGGCTTTCAGGACAGGTTATAGCCCATGGCTGTCAGCAGCACAGTCCTCACTCCAGTGGGCATCTCGCTTCTCTGCCACGAGCTTGATGAACTGAGAGTGACTGGCATACAGCTTGAGCTGGTCGCTGATGTCCACCCACTTCACCTTCCCGGCATCATCTCCAGCCTCCAGAGTCAGGTTGTCCATTGTCTCCCCTAGTTTCCAAAGACAGAACCAAACAAAAACAAAAAACAAACAAACAAAAAACCTGGGGGTTATTCCATTTTTAATGCAATTATGGATCTTCAAAAGTCTTACTAAAAATAAGATTAAATCATCATTATTAGGTGGCTATAGAATTAAAAACCAAAATACTCCAAAATGCCTGAACTGTAACTAAATGTTAGATGAAAGGACTAATAAGAAAGCTTTTCTCCTTTACAGAGAGAGAGAGAGAGAGAGAGAGAGAGAGAGAGAGAGAGAGAGAGAGAGCGAGAGAGAGCGCATAAAAGGTCATATGAAACCCTTTACAAAACTAAATTCCAGAAGGATTAGAGTTAACTATAAAAAGCCTAAAAGCAAATTTCTAACTCGGTTTGTAGTCTAATGCTATGTAATTGGATGCCAAACCGCAAACTAAAATACAATATATTTACAATTGTATTTATTTAAATGTCATCATTGCTACAAATGTAAATGGCTGTTTCTACAGGTTAAATTGATAGTATTTACCCAGTGTTTTCAAAAATAAATTCTCCCACTTACTCGATAGGTGTGAATGCCTTGTGTACCAGACTCTGCTGCAGGCACTGGATATATGAGGACTTTACAGATCTAGTGGTCAGTACCTACCTGGCAACCATGAAGCTCTGAGTAGCAATGCCAGCGCCGCAGAAGACTGAGGCAGGAATATTGCTATTCGCTCAGAGCAACCCTGGGTTGCATAATGAGACTCTGTCTCAAAAAATTATCCAAAGGAGACAGAGAGAAAACTATTCAAGGCAACACAAATGTGTGCTTTATGTGTGTATATAAACATGTGTGCTTTATTTATGCATATAAACATATGTATACTTTATGTGTAAATAAAAACATGTGTATGTCCTTTATGTGTATATGTACATAAACATATATGTGTGCTTTATGTGTGTATATAAACATTTGGTATTATATTCTACATTCTTTAATTTTTATTTATTTTTATGTGTATAGGTATTTTGCCTGCATGTATGTCTGTGCACCACATGTGTGCCAGGTGCTGGCAGAGGCCAGAAGAGGGCACTGGGAATTGAACCTGGGTCCTCAGGATGAGCAGCAAGTGCCCTTACTGCAGGGCCATTGCACCTCTCATTCTTAAAATGGGCAGAATCAAACTTTTCACCTTTACAAAACGGGTTAAAGAAATAACAGCGATGCACAATGGGGTGTCACATTCATTAAACAGAGGTTCCTGAGCCTGATGTGGTCAGCCTGGGCTATACAGTGAGCTCAGGACAACCTGAGCTATGTGGCAAGACTATCTCAAAACAAAACCAAACAAACAGTGACTGGAGCTCAGGGACACTGCCAACAAACAGTGCCCAGAACATGTTTTTAAGTGAAACGCCAAGCAAGGAAAGAGCACACGGCATAAGCACCTTTGTATCTACTTACTGTAAAGCTACACAGAGTCTGCAAGAAGCTAAGGCGACATGTTAGAGACGGTGGTTCACTGTGTGTGTCTTCTTTCCATCATCTACTCTCTAAGTAAGTTTCAATTATTTTACCTCTGTAAACATCGTCACTGCACTCAAACAACAACAACCCTCCTCAGAAGATAATGTTTTGGCAACAGGTGCTGAGTGCCAGGCTGCTCCCCCAGCTCTATCTGCACTGCAGCTCCAGGCACCTCCACAGCCGTTATGAAGCTGTTACTTCAGGACAGTCTCCAGCATCCTGTGCTTTATCTCAATCAATAATACCTAGACTTTCTTTTATTCCTCTGATCACCTGATATATCACTCAAAACAAAACTGTTTAGTATTTAAAGACACAGAGTTCAACAGCCACCTCTCTCACAAAAAGAAAGCGGAACTGAAAACAGACAGTTCTCGGATCCAGCAAAAAGCATGGGTCATGGGACACACTGGCATTCCTCAGGCAGAAAATCCCCTCTTACAGCAGGGAGAGGGGAACAGCAACCAATCGGAAACACACCATTTACTGCCCTCGTGAACAATTATTTTACCAACAAGGGGTTGGACTGAGAGAGGAACACACCTTAGGTCTTACCAAGGAGCTTCTAAGAGACACCCAAAGGTGCAGGGAGGACAGATCAGTGGGACGAGGGACCAGACCTAGCCCCTACAGCTATGGCAGGGGATAAGTCAATGGAGCACACTCCTTGGCAGGAAAACCTGTAAGGTCCATGCTACTTGCCTTAATTCCTTTTGTTAGACAAACCATGACCAATCTATACAGGCAAAGCAAACACCTTAGAATTTATGAGCAAAGAATTTTCTTTTTACAGAAAAAGAAAGATCAACCACACATTGGATACATAATCTACCTTAATCTCTGAAGAAAAGGTCGTGGCTAAAAAGCCTCACAGATAAAGAATGTACTGTGCACAGTTAAGCTGTGCAAGCCCCATTCTAAACTGCATCTGCACACATCTTCTCAGTTCTTGTACTAAGGGATGAACTCAGCATCTTCTTGGAGCTGCTCCAGAGGGAAAGGAGATGGTGCCAGAGTTTCCCAAGGCCAAAGAAAGGTTGAGAGAAAAGAGACCTCCCAAGTCCTGGCTGCCCAATGAGGACAAGTGATTAGCATAAGATTGGGCAGTTCAGCAAAGAGCCAGAAGAACAGGGCATTCTCTGAAAGCTGGCCTTGTTTCATTACTCTACAAATGAATGTGACATGCTTAAGACACCAGCCAGCCTAGCAAGAAATGACTTTCTGTGGATTGGACTGATGCGTACAGATCTTACTCATTCTGAAAACAGCCATTTCCTTCTCTTCTGTAGTAACAGACAGTCTCTCGTGATAAACTCTTAAACCCAGAGATCAGGAAAGTACATACTCAACAACACACACTTACTACATACATGGCAACCAAGCCCAGGGCTGCAGCCCGGGAGGGTCATACAGCAAGGTAAATGTAAACACCATTTTTTACCCTATCACCAAACTGCCCCACCCAGAATTTCACCTGCTTTTGGAATAACTGCACTAATTAATTGCTGTGTTTACATTGAATTATTCTAGCCTATAATCCAGCTTTAAATTCACATGCCATCAATAGATTAAAGACATTTAATTAGATAATGCTGATAAACTTTGCAAGCTTTGCCCTAAGTGCTCCTTTAATGCTAACAATTTCACCTGCAGACAAACAACCCTAAGCTCACCAGTTGATGGGTTTAAGAGGCTACATTCTAGATCCGATGCTATCCTAGTAGACATCTTGGCTTCAGCTAGTCCGCCTGCTCCAGCTGTATTTGAGTATAAAACTACCTGTTTCATCATGGTAGTTCACAGCTTCTGTCTCCATCCACGCATTGTCAGTGTTCCGAGGGTCGTCAACATACCCCTTATATATCTATTTGCAAGAGGAGAGAGAGAACGACAGTCTAGGGTGAGGTCGGAGCGAGTGAACGACAGGTGAGCTTCCTTCCCTAGATTAATACTTGTAAATATCCTGCTGTGCACATCACACTACTGAACTGGACAGTTTAAATAGTTAAGAGTTTATGTTATATTACAAGTTTTCACCACACACACAAAAAAAAATGCTTATAAAGAAATATAAATGGGGGCTGGAGAGAAGGCTCAGCAGTTAAGAGCACTGACTGCTCTTCCTGAGATCCTGAGTTCAATTCCCAGCAACCACACAGTGGCTTACAAACATCTGTAACGGAATCCAATGCCCTCTTCTGGTGTGTTTGATGACAGCTACAGTATACTCATATAAATAAATAAACCTTAAATATGTATATATAATATATGTATATATATACATATAATATATATACATATATACATATATACATATATACATACATACATACGTATACATATACATATACATATACATATACATATACATATACATATACATATACATATATATATATATATATGGCACAGAATCAGAGTAACATAGTTTCATAGGCGTGTTTATATTTCTCAGGGGACAATATTCTCCTTTGAGGTAGTTTTAAAATTCACAAAATCCTCAGAAGCACACAATTTGAGAAGGGCTGGGCATAGCTCAGTGGTGGAACATGCGTAGTGTGCTGGAGGCCCCAAGTTTGACAACACCAAGGGAAAACTGAGAGGAGTTGATCTGAGCTATACTTTCTGCAAAGGTTCCATAATATAAGCATGTTTCTATTTTAGTAATTTCTCTGATTATAACTTCATATATTGAAAGGTTTATTATTATTGATAAACCTAGATAGATAATATATAGATAAATATTAATATAATAGAAATTGAAATGTAAAGCTTATTAATACCAGAAAAAAATCTATATCTAGTCATCCAACACAAACGTGGGTAAGACAATCCTGACAGCAGATGTAAAAACAGAAGGTCCCCTTGGGAGGCTGAGGAATGGAATTAGGAGACCCAGCACTGGGCTGGAGCGAGCTCAAGCAGTAGGGTGAATGCCGGGCAGGCACAGGGAGACTGTGGATCCCTGGGGCTTCCGACCTGCCAACCAGGCCTAACCAATGAGATCTCTGTCTCTACAGCAAGATAAATGGCATCCGAGGAACAACAACTGAACAAGTCTTTTCCCCTCAACCTTACCACAGACAGACAGACAGACAGACACACACACACATAAATGTGCACACACACACACACAAATGCACACACACACATATAAAGACAACCTGGGTTACACAACAAATACTTAACCAGGCTGAGCTTTATGCTATAACCCTTAAAAAAAAAAGTTAAGAGATCCAAATTTTGGAAGAAAAACAAAGCAATCAATCCAAATGACAGTCAAAAAGAAAAGAAGCTCTGTCATTTCATTATTGATGCCCACAGGCCTTCTGTGGTGTTTTCTTTTACTAACACAGAGTATATAGACAATACAGGCATACAGAAATAAACCTTAAATGATTAGCAATTTTTAAAAAGTGTAATGTAAATCTAAAACAAGGGTTTTTCACAGCAAGCTGAATTTTTGTAAATAACGAGATCTATTTAATAGATTCTTAGTGTGTAAGAAAATAGCCTATTTGTCATGCAAGGTCAGCCCTGAGCTAAGGAACAGGGGGTGAGGAAGGAGGAGTAAATGATCACATGAGCTAAGGCCAGGCTCTACAACCAACTTCACATGTGCTTCGGGACCAGATCTCAAGGCCCCTGCTGACTCAGCCTGACTGAGGAGCCCCTTACCACAAGATGTTCCTGGCTGAAGAGCGCGTGCAGCTTCTCCTCAATCTCCCTCTTCTCCGCACTGGATTTCTGTAATGAGTTCAGGGCTTCCTCACCAAACTCCCTTTTCAGTGTGGCACTGATCTTCTCTCCGGGGTCTACCATTCCCTGCAGTCACATTTTTGAGCAGCGGTGAGCTTTGGCTTACTCCACACTATTTACTGAGCGGCCGATAAGCTGTCTTATAGTATTTGCACAGTGTACTTACCCCCCAACCCCCTCTGAGAAGCACTTCTTAAAACATCCGTTTTTAGCAGAAGCAGCTGAGAAAGGCAGCTCACACACTGGGCCACAGTCATCAGTATACCATTAGGCTATGGCAGACTGGGCCAGGCAACGACACTTCCTGATACTTTCTAAATTCAAACTACAAGGCCTGGAGGCAAGGAAACAGCACAACACCTCTTCCCACCCACCCATCTAGTCCATTGCAGCCATGATGGCATCTTTAGAAGAATGTACCAGAAGCACCTCCTAAGGGCTGCCTCACTGAGTTTATCCAAAATGTTTCTCCCCAGAACCCACAAGTTTCTCCACAGACTCATTCAGCTCCTTCGAGATGTCATTTAAATGTTACTTCCCCTACATCATCTTTTACTTCCTGTCTGCTTTAGTTTTCTTTAATCATCTACTAGCATAAGATATTTACTCATCTTATGACATTGTCTGCCTTTCCCACTGGAACGTAACAAAAGACAGGGGTGTGTGTTCATGTGGCTATTATACACTGTCTAAAGTATTAACCCACAAAGGTAGAGAGTCAGTCAAGGAGACCAGCAGGTCTCAGAGTGCAGCAGCTACTGCAGCTGCTCCCGTGACTGGAATTTCAAATGGAAAGAAAAATCATGAAATCACCACAGTGTGAGAGAAGCTGACTGACTCGGCTCATGGTGATCAGCCTACACTGGATCAGTCAGCTACTATCTGAAACCACGAAGGAAAACATATTCTTGCCCATAGCAGGGTATGTGTAAAGATTCGTGTTCACATCGGATACCTCCTCGGCCTCACAACAGGCATAATTACAAAACCTCTACCACATTGAATACATGCTTTAAAGGTCACTTCAAGACATCAATGCAAAAGTGCACTCCTCCTGATGGGGACTTGGAACTTCAAGGAAAAGTCCATAATAAGTGTCATCTGTTCATTATGTTTAAAAACTGTAAGAATCCAATAAGTAATACTAAAAATATAAAGTTGAGTTTAGAGTAGGGGATTGAAATGGACCTTACATAATGAATGCCAACCATAGGCCTGATAGTCAAGGGCGCTCTGAGGTAAATATGGCTACCTTCATTTTAAAGATGAGCACCTGGACTCACCCAGAGGCAAGTGCACAGGACAGAACACGAGCCTCGATCTATCCAAACATTCGTGTTCCTTCCGAAGATGCTAGAATTGTCCTTGAATTCTAAAAGCCTCATGTCATCCTAAGCTTGGTGACAGTGAGCTGAAGGAGCAGCCTCCTCACACAGGAGCCTCACAGCAAGCAGCCAAGCAGTGAGCAGTGCCCGTCCCAGCAGCCCCAGCAGGGGGTGCCATGCTTACCCCAGGGATTGCCCACTCTCCACAGTCTTTCCTTTTGATGGCAACAAACTGCAAGATGCATTTCCCGGAGACAGGGTGTGTGATCTTATTCCCACTCTCGTCCCTTTTCCACCTGTGGACAGGAACACAGACCAGCAAAGGCTCCAGCTTCCACCCTCAATGACATTAGAAAAATGTCTTCTCTACTACAAAGTACAAATTTATCTAAAATAGGTAAGTTTAAAAACCTGTTTTTATTAGACAAATGCTATGTTTACCCCTGTTAAGGAAGTTTAGTTCATACAAGGGTGCTGTATTCTCTGTGAGGAAAATTTAGATTATACACAATTCTTACTACTTAAAGTCAAAAAAAAAAAAGAAAGAAAAGAAAAAGCTTAAAAGCAGAACATAATTTGAAGAAAGGGTTTTAAAAGGTGTGTTGCATGGTGTTTTTCACCAAGAATCCCTTTTAGAAACTGAAATGATAAAATAGACTTGGTAATGCCTCTGTTCATCACAACACCTGTGATACCAGAAAAGCAGAAACTCCGTTTCAGCTGAGTGTAGTGTTCTCAGTCTTTATGCCATCTTAGATTGGGGGTGGGAGATTTCCATCCTATACTATTTTATGTCTTGAATTAAATCCCATGGTTAGGCAACATCAGTTTAGAACACATCTCCTCTGAGGACATCATCTTTTCTGAGGACAAATCTCCCTTCCCTTCCTAATCTACATCCTCAACTTCTAGGCTCTTTCTAAAAGTGGTGTTCTAGACAAAGGTAAGGATTTTGTCCTTGCAGTAACAACTGGGAAAAAGGCCCAGGGGGTGTCTCTCACTGCAGGAGGCGGAGCATGAGCCCGTACACGGGTGTGGACAGATCTCCACATTTGTTTATCTAACCCATGATTCCTCATCAAAGAGCTCGGGTTCTAGCGCAGAGCTAACACCACAGTGGCACATCATAATAAAAAGCTTCAGACTGAGGAGCACAGCAGACAGGAATAAAAAATAATTAGTGCGATGTTTGTTTTTAAGATACCAGACCCCAAAGTAGCAGAAAGAAGATATGAAGCAATGAAATACTGGTCCACGAAACTCGAGGTCTAGCAAGTGAGAAGGAGGCTGGAGCATGAAGCTAAAGACTCAGGTGAATGTTTATACAGCAGAGTTCTCAAATCTGAGTTCCTAAGAGAGCCAGAGAGTACTGCTCACTGGGGAACTCACTCACTGCCACAGAGCTGTGGAGTGACTCAGGCAAGCAAACTGACCTAAAGAACAGGTGAAACACTGCCACCATCCACACGTGCTGCTTTTCTCTTACTGTTGCCTGCCAGATGCTTAATGAACACTCACTGGAAACTGAAGGTACAGCTCCCACAGATCACCCTCCCTGTACAGTATTCTCTGGAAAGGGCAGTGACCCTGTGCAAGTAGTGTGCCCCATGGCTCCCTTCAGAGGTAACAGTTTGCAAACAACTTCACTCTTTCAGACGTTTGAAACCAGGGGGTAAGAGTGACTCGTCCCTTCCTGAGAGACCCTCAAGGTCTTCCCTGTACCTTTCCACTGAAAACTCTAGATTTTTTTTTTGTTTTGATGGCTTCCCGACTGCCATATGAACTAACAGGTTTACAACAGAACACTAAGGCATGCTACTCCAGCTAACTCACAGGCCTTATGTTCAGTAGGTCTCTTGCATCAAGAGGCCGCGCTGAATGACTGCCCTGTGTTATCTAGGCTCGTGTAAGTACACAGTGTGACAGGCACACAATGAGGAAATTGCCTAATGACACATTTCTTGGAACATGTCTCTAGTGCTGAGCAATGTATGACTATACTTAGTCATATTTCATTATTTTATTTCAAATTTTCAACCCTGCAAATGTAACTATAGATTTTCAATGGCCAAAACCTTAATACTTATACTTTTTATACTCTCTAATGTACCTCCTCAGTGCTGGAAAAAAAAAAAACCTGATGTTTAATAAATATCTTCCAGGTGCATTCAAACTTTGGACACTGCAACATGACTTTGTCATTTACAAACCTCATGTTTGAGAAATGGGCTCTCATGTTATCTGTCCCCTGCCCAAATCATCTCATGTTTAAGTGAGGGTATGATGTTATGCTGGGCCACAATCACTGGGCGCAGCATGGAGCCTGTGGCAGTAAGCTGGACTCCTTGGTAGATAATGCTTGGTGTACACCCACAACGTAAAACCACAGCTTGATGAACTGGTTGATTGCTTATTTTGAGGTTTTGAGACAGGCCTCAAATTCATAGCAATTCTCCTGTCTCAATCTCCCATTTAAGGGGAGATTGTAAGCAGAAACCACAACACCTAGCTATAGCACACCACTGTGATTTCATATAAAGTCTCATGTTCTTACAGACCAAACACGGGGGCGGGGGGGGGGCAGTGCGGGGGGAGAGAGCGGACGTCTGTATCATCTTACCCAGTTCTTACCTGGTTATAATAGGATCTGCAGCATGATTTGGACCCCATCTCCCCAGAAGACCCCGGCCAACCAGTCCTGTCCTCCCTGCAGGATTTCTAGGGTAGAAAAGAATGAAAGACCACTATACAATCAATTGAATGCATTCACTTTTAAAAATCTAGCTTGACACGACATGTATGTGTGTGGGCAGGTGTTTGTGTACATGTGTGAAGGTATGAGCATGATATTTGGCCTGAGGTGTCAACAGCTCTCCAGTTTAGTGAGGGAGGGGCAACCAGCCAGTCTAAGACAGCCTGGCCAGCCAGCTTACTCCTGGGATACCCTGTCTCTGCTCCTTTCTTGAGTCCTTAAGCTACAGGAGCCAGCATGCCTGCTCAGCTCTCCTGTGGGCTCTGGTGTCCAAACGCCTGTCTCTAGGCCTGTATGAGAGCTTTATCCAACAGGCTATCTTTCCAGCCTGCAACTAACATCTTCATCTAGTCCACAAGACACTCACACCACTGGTTTTACTGCTGATAAAACTGAGCGACTTTTTGTATGTTTTGTACTAAACTCACAAGTATTTTTTAAAAAGAGTCACCAGGATAACTAACAATAACTTGATTTCAAAATCACAGGACAGGAATGGAAAGTAAGACAAAAGAGCCTGATGTTACCATTACTGGGTTTTACTTGTCTTTTGAATTACGTGTGTGTGTGTGTGTGCATGGGTGTGCGAGTGTGTGTGTGTGCATGTGCATGTGTGTGCATGGGTGTGCGAGTGTGTGTGTGCATGTGCATGTGTGTGCATGTGTGTGCATGTGTGTGCATGGGTGTGCATGGGTGTGCATGGGTGTGCGAGTGTGTGTGTGTGTGAATCAGAGAAGAACCTAGAGGAGTCAATGTCTCCCTCACCATGTGAGTCCCAGGGATCTATGCAGGCACCCAGCCATGTCTCAGACCTTACCTACTGGGCAATCTCACCCCAACAAAGCTTTATTTTTAGTCTTAACATGGCTTACATGTTTGGATAAATTCTTTCTTTAAGCCATTAGTTCATTTAATAACCAACCACTGAAAACATAAATTCTAATCCTTTTTATAATTTATTCAATTAATTATTTCAATCTTCAAGATAAAATTATGAAACCATACCTTTAATTCTTTAAAAGAGCCAGGCAGTGGTGGCACATGCTTTTAATCCCAGCACTTGGGAGGCAGAGGCAGGCGGATTTCTGAGTTCAGGGCCAGCCTGGTCTACAAGTGAGTTCCAGGATAGCCAGGGCTACACAGAGAAACCCTGTCTCGAAAAACAAAAACAAAAACAAAAACAAAGACAAAAACAAAAGAAAACAAAAAACTTCTTTAAAAGAAGTAAACCTTTTAATTTAATTTAAAGTGTCTGTAGCACTTACTAGTTGTATGCAAATTGCTAACACTCTTTCCCAATCTGAGTTCAGTGAAAATGTAACTGCTTAACATACATAAATTCTCATCACGTCTGGCCCTTACAGTTGTACTCTGAATGCCAACACCTTTTCTTCCTTTTGAGACTCAGTTCCTTCATCCCAGCACCTACCTGGGTCTTCCATTTTCAATCTCGTACAGGCCATTCTGGCTCTTTCTCTCAACATGCCCATCCTTTTCATTAAATTTGGGAGAGAAGTTGCTTTCACTGCAATGAGAACGACAATGCACATAAAGTAATGATTAGATGCACCCACAGCTTAGCCATATAACTCACTGCTATTCATAATAAACACAGAATCGGGAAAAATGTTCAGGACTGAGTTCTGACTTACAAATCTTATTCAATCAAAAAAGGCTCTGGGGCAAAAAAACTTTCAGCCAAAGGAGAAAAGGATGTAGTATTCATGAGCCACGTGGTGCTTGACAGGGGGATGGATGCCCCTCCCACATGATCGAAAATGTCTGCATGACACCATCACACAGAACTGCCTGTGCACACACTACAGCAACTGTTGGCGGCTCACACAGATTCCAACTGCAAGACTTCTCTGAACACTATGATATCTCTACTGTTCCAAAGTAACCTTCATTATTTCAATTTAACGCATATTGGTTAATACTGTCAAATATTCATTTTATCAAAAGTCACAGGGGGATGAATTTATCCCATCAACTATAAAAGAAATATGATTTTTAAAAAGACATGATCCTCTGGAAATGCTGGTGATCCTGGCCTGAACTGCATGTTTGCTGAGCTGCACCTGCACACTTCCGAAATGAGCGCTGACCGCACTTACGTCGTCCTTCAACACTTTGTAAATAAACAGTATTAAAAAATTTGCAAATAGGCCAGGCATGGCACACACCTTTAGTCTCTGCTTGGGAGGCAGAGACAAGGGGATCTCTGAGTTTGATGCCAGCCTGGTCTACAGAGTGAGTTCCAGGACACCCAAGGCAACACAGAGAAACCCTACCTTGAAAAACAAACAAAAACCAAAAACCAAAAAAAAAAAAAAAACCCAAAACAACAAACAAAACAAAACATTCTTGCAAATAGACCAAGAACCCACACAACTCAATGAATTCCTATAAAGTTAGCACAAACACTCGGAAAAGAAACTGTGAAATTTTATATTACATTTATACTTTCTGTATCAAATATATTTTAAGTACTTATACACCACCGAAGCCAAAACTCCATGAGAATTAGAAGAAACAAAGAAAGAGTAGCTGGGTCTGCTCTTTCGTAACTCCAGTCCACCACCTGCACTGGGTCCTTCCCTTCACTCCCTCTCAGCCCTTCCTCCTCTCTTTCCTCCATACCGCCCCCACACGGACATTTGTTTATATACAGACAAACAGTACATGATAGACTGAGTCTGAGGGAGGCCTGGGCCTCTTCTCCTATGAGTTATACACTGCAGCCGTCGGCAGGGCAAACAGTGCTGCTTCCTTTTTGTCTTTTGAATTGACACATAATCACTGTAAATATTATAGGTACAGTGATGATCTGATATGTGATGACCACATTAGAATCATTAGCATTTACATCTTCTTACACATTTGCCATTTCTTTATAAGGAGAACTTTCGAAATTCTCTTCTCTAGCTCTTTATAGAATATATAACAAAGTATTGTGAACAGTTACACCCACTATGCCATAAGATAGCAGAATGTACTCCCCCTCCGGACTGTATGTGGGGAGCTGCTGGTTATCCAGTCATCCACTTCCGCTTCCTAGACAGTAGTTAGCACTCTCCTAACATCTACCTCAATCAACTGGTTTGTTTGACTTTTGTTGTTAGAAGTGCTGGAGTTGGTGGATCAACCTTGATGGAGGTCAGCCTCAGGATTCTCATCTACTCTTTGAGGAGCCTCTTACTGGCTTCGAACTGGTCAAACATGCTGGGCTGCTAGCCAAGCTCTGGGATCCCAACCTTGCCTTTCCAGCACTGGGGTTACAAGCCCATGCAGGTCCCACTGCCCATGCTGTCCCTCCTGGCTTCTTCCATTGGTGCTGGAACCCAACCGCTTTCACAGCATACAGGCTCATCATCGGGTTTTGGTAATCGGGAAAAGAGTCTGACAGATGTTTTCACCACTTCAAATACCAGCCTACCTCTGTCAGGAACAACAGAGGTGCACAACTGTTAACCCAACGAGCACATGCAAACAGATATCACCAACTGCTATTACTCCAAAACAGCAGTAATTTCAAACCAAAATAGATTCACCTCACCTATTAGGGGAAGCCCTCACAAAACTTGGCAAAAAATAAACAAGCATGGACTGGTTGGTTTGGGAAATTCAAGCAAATGGAGAAACTGACTGCTAACAACACCCAGCATGGATTAAAATGATTTTTTTTCAAACATCAAATGATAACTTAAAACCCCTGACTTTCCATAAGTCTTAGACCCAGTTACGCACTTATCTGCTCACCTGATCTGAGGGTCTGCCCACTGGGGTCCAGCCAAGACAGAGACCGCGGTGTACTCCACTGGGTTGTAGTCTTGCCACTCAACAAGCCAGCCCACCTTCTCATTAGGAACCTGACTTCGCTCTACTTTTGAACCTGGGTAAGGAGATGTCCGGGCTTTATTGTGGGAATTCTCTTTGGCACCATTAGAACCAGACATGATGTTGGCTTGAAGGTGAAACCCACAGGATGGAAATGGGTTTCTAAGGAGAGAAAAACAAGAAAAACATTTTATAGACATTCCAAAAGCACATGAATTAAAGAACCTAGGTCAAAAATTCCTGAAACATTTTTCAATTTCAAAAACGTGTTAAAAAAATCAGAAAATAACACAATGGCGACTGCAAGTGTGTATTGCTCTTCCAGAGGACCCAAGTGCAATTCCTAACACCTAAGAAACACAGTTCACAACCACCTGTAACTCCAGTTCCAGGGTATCCAAGGCCTCTGACCTCTGAGGGCACCTGCACTCTTATCCACAAGACACACATGCATTAAAATACAAAATAAACTTTTTTTTTTTAAATCAAAAAGTTCAAGTTAAGAAACATCCATGAAAGTTTTTCAAATATGAATACTTTAAAAATAGCTAAATCTGGACTGGAGAGATAACTCAGAAAAATGCTTGCCACACAAGCATGAGGAACTGAGGTTAGAGCCTCAGCACCAACATAGACACTGGGCATGCAAGCACATATCTGTCACCACAACCCTGGAGACAGAGCAGACAGAGAAAGATCAATAACCAACCAGCCTAGCCCATAGGTAAGCTTTAGGTTTAGTAAGAGACCCCATCATGACAAGGGACTAAGGAAGACATCCAATATCAACCTCTGGTTGCTACACACACACACACACACACACACACACACTAGCATGTATATATACACACAACTAGTTAATCTTAACTGTTGCCTACTGGCTGCAGTTATTTTAGCAGAGAAAACAGGGCAGAACATTTGTTTTCTATTCTTTTAGAAAAGGGGCATATGTTCTGAGAACTCAGCCATGAACACAAATACAAGCATGAGTTTATAAATAAATTTACTAAAAAGCTTATATGCAAGTCTGTGCAGACATGAGTTTTCAGCTCATTGGAGTGACACTCAAGGTGTGACTGCTGAGTCCCATCAACACAGCATGATTGCTTTTGTAAGAAACTCGAAATTGTTCACTCTGCCTGCCCTCAGGAGGCTCCATCCCATTGGCTGTCTACAGATTTAAGTGTAAGGCAAGCTTTTTGCTGTCATAGTGTTAGAAATAATTTTTTTTTAATTAGTCAGAGTTAGAAAGAATTTTTTAATTGGCCAATATCTCGGAATAACATGGGACCGTGAACTCATGAACTCCCAGGGAAGGGTCCAAGGCAGGACATACCAATTAAGAGAGTACACTCCTGGAACATCCTGCCTCCTCAGTTTCCCAGCTGTGTATGTATTGATAAGAGAGCACACACACCCCTGGAATATCCTGACTCCCAGTTTCCCAGCTGTGTGCGGATAAGAAATACAATTAAGAGCTTCCTGCCTAAGAATCCTCTACTCCCCAGCCCCCCTCCCAGCCTGCGGCTTTTGTCTTTATAAGCCTGTGTATTTTGATGTTTGGGGCGCACTCTCTCTCCTACTTTTGGAGGTATGAGACTGAGTCCCAGCATGCTGCTTTACTAGTAAAAGCCTCTTGCTGATTACGTCAAGTGCCGACTTCTGTGGTCATGGGTGGGGAGGGCACCGGTCCCTGAGACTTGAGCAGGGGTCCAGCCTCTTCTGGGCCTTACAATGGCATTCAGAGAGTCTCAAAACTCTGCTGCTTCATTCACATGCACCCTGCATCCACAAGGCAGGTCCACAGCCCTAAGAGGGTGGGAGCAAGTGCAAGCTAGGACAGACTGTTGATATCGGGGCCCAAACTCAGTGACATCACATCTAGGCGACCCTACATTATTGCCAAGGCAACCGCCATACACTCCCAGAATCCACCTGGCTACCTCACCCTTACCTGGGAAAAGGCTACGTCGCCGCCTATGTAAATAGGCAGAACTCCCTGACCTTGCTCTCTTTTCTCCGCCATCTTCCTCTATGTCTCTTCTCCCACCTTTCCCCTCTGCCCTGAATAAGCCCCTCCCCCTTGGAACCGTTTGGTCTGGTGTTGTCTGTTCTAAGCTGCACGCCAAGTCTAACACAGGTGACTTGTTAAGTCAAGTGAAAGGTGCAATCCCTGAGCCATGGCGACAGCCAGGGAGGCCACCAGATCAGAGCCAGCTGGGCCTGCTCAGCAAAACTGCCTCACAAACAAATGAAAGTGGTATGTTTTCCTTATTTCCCTATCTGATGGCATGCTTGCTTCAGCTGCTACAAATCTGGAAATCCAAGTTACAAATTCTCTGAAAAATGAAAATCTTACCCACTCAAGCTTGTACTCAAAAATAAGTCTGTGAAACATGCGTGTTTGTCAGAATTAGCTGGAGAGGTGACACTTCTGCTAGGATAGCTACTTACCCAATCACCACAAACTAGAGTTCAGAGCCCAGTACTGATGTAAGAAATCAGGCATCCCACACACATCTCTAACTCCAGGTGGAGAGTGGGGGCACAGAGGTAAAAAATCCAGCCTAGCCAGAGACATAAACCCCAGGTTAAAGGAGGAAATCTTTCTCAAAGGAGTAGGCAGACAGTGAATAAAAGTCACCAACATTGTCTTCTGGGCTCCACATGAGTGCAGACACATACAACTGCACAGACACACACACACACACACACACACACACACAAAACACCCATAAATTTTTTTAAATAAATGTCACAGTATAATCAGACTACGTATCTTCCCCACAGAAGAATGGTAATCTATTTACATCTGTTCTCCAATATGAGACAGTGCTGGCTACTGGAAGAATATGCACATATACAGAGCCTAAATCTCTTTTATTACATTACAAGACTGTGCAATTAAGAGACAGAAATTAGGAAATTAATAAAATGCATCTTACAAAGCAAAGACCAGTTCCTAAGACTGGCAAAAAAAAAAAAAATGAAAGAAGAGAGAAAGAAAGAAAGAAAAAGAAAGAAAGCCAACAGCTGCATACTGCTATGAACCAAAGAAAATCTTCAATACTATAATTTATAAGAAATAAGTGTACACCTGCAAGGACTCTTCTAAGCACTGGAAATACTGCCCACTCATCTGACCCACACAAAACCTTGCTACGGAAGCAAGTCTGATAGCTCCTGTTGCACCTCTGCTTCACGTTTAGGTCACACATGTTACATGTCAGCACATTAACCTACATCACTGATAAAACCTGTTGAGAAACGGAAACCTGACTTTTCCAGTTTTAACTAATAAAGATCTTTGAAATTAGGTAAATCATAAATTCTAACTACAAAACTATTGTGCCCTGGATTTCCCTCCATTGTTAGTCACAAAATTTTTTTTAATATATTTTTATTCACTTACTCAGAGAATTCTATACATATAGATTTCTCACACTGGAAACACGTGTGTACACACACACACATGAATGTATTGTAATCATATCCGCCCCCCAACTCCTCCCAGCTTCCCACCCCATCACTCATGTTCTCCTACATTTTTATATTTTATTTTTGATTACATGTGTGTGTTCATGCATGGCTCCTGCACGAGGGAACAGTGATGGCAAAGGAGCATGAGTTTACATCTAACATGGGAGCTGAGAATGAATGGAGTCCACTAGAGCTCTCAACTGCTAGCTATCTCTCCAGGCCCCTCTTATTCCTCCTTCTGTTTCTTTTCAGATAACCTTTTTAGTCTGATGAGTGCTATGTCAAGGGTGTGGAATGTGGCCAATCAATGAGGGGCTACACCCCTAAAGAAATCGGTAGTCAGAAAACTCTTGAAGTTACAGTCATTTGTTTCTCGACAGATGTTTTACAATAGATCTCCAGGCACTCAACACATACTTGTTAACTTAGCTTTGGGCTTTTCTTTGGAATATGCAGTTTCGGTTCTGGATATACTACTTTAAGAGTTCCTTTCCCTGTGGCACTAAAGAATCCGGGTTGGAGTTAGGACCAAGCTGCTTTACACTGTTCTGGTAACAATCAACAAAAATGCCATTAGTGACTTCCAGAGAGCTGGAAGTTCTTCCCTTTGCAAACCCCACTGAAGGGGTGTATAAAAGGAAGTTAATTCACACCAGCAGAGAGAGGATACTCTGACTGAGGGGCTTTAAACATTGTCAGGAAGGCAGAAAACGGATGGAACCATGGGGCCTACACACCACAGCAGAAGTAATTCTATTTTCAAAAAGGTCAAGAAGATGTCACTTCTGTTAGGGTAGCCCACAGAAATTCCAAATTCGGTCTCACAGGCTGGCCAAAGAATCAGGGAACTAGCCTCTTTCCTCTTCGGAACTGACGCTTCCTGAGTCTGCCCCCTGGATAAAGTCAAGTTTGAAGCACGGGTGTAAGGAAGACATGTGTTTTAAGGAAGACACTACTACAGACACTTGTGTCAGAGAACTTAACAGAACCAGGCTTACAAACTTTCCAAGTCACTAGGAAATAAAGTTGCGGCCACCTAACACAGGCAAGAAGGGAAAGAGCAAGGTTCCCAGTCCCGAGGCACTTGCTCACACACTTTAATTTCCAGTCTATACTAAAGCCAATAGTCAGCGCCTTCCAGCGCACAGAAAGCACTGTCTGCTACTCAGAGTAACAGTATATATGTTATCATATGGATTCAGTATCACCTCTAGCACAGGGCGACACATCATAAATGCTCTTTAAACTCTGGGGATCCATGAATTAACGTTGGTACCTTATCTAGAAGGGCAAATTTAAAAGTCAGACACCGAGAAGGGTCCAGTACGCCGGCACAGCCTACATAACCTCTGGGAAAGGAAGGAAGGATCGCAGGTCCACCCAAGGTCTGGGAGCCGCAGCCCGTCCTAGAAACCGGGTACCTGGGTGCGGGGACGGCGCGGCAGCCCAAGGACCGGACAGTCACAGACGCAAGGGCTACCGAGAGCGACACGGTGGCTACCGCCTGCCCCAGGGAGCGGCCGGCCATCGGCGCCTGGCGCGCGGCCGGCGAGGGGTCAGAGGTGGCCGGCTTCGCCCGGAGTCCAGCCGCGAGCCCCGAACCTGCAGCCAGCGGGCACTGGGACCCGGCCGCGCTTCCCTGGCGCGGGTCGCCAGTGGCCGGCAGCGCCCGCAGCCCCACGACGTACCCGCCGCGCGACAGCGCTTTACGGCAACGCCGCAAACCAACCTGTCTGCCCGGCCTCTCGGTCTGCGCAGGCGCACTGAAGTGCTGAGGCGCGCAGCGGGCCGCGGAGACAGAGGACTTTGAAACCAAGCGGAAGGAGGGTCAGGGATGTGATGTGACCTACGCTGAGACCACGTGCTTCCAGGAGAGGACGGCAGTACGGAGTCACGTGACCACTGCGAGGTTTGAGAAGAAGTAGAATGACTCAGTGACGATTCATGAGACACAGTGGTTTGGTTTCCAGAAGTGGAGTAATTTGCTTTTCGAAACTTGCCCGCATACTGGGCTTCCCGCATGCTGGGCTCCCGCCAGTCACGTGATCATGCCAGTCATGTGACTGCTCGCCCCTGGAACCCATAAAGAAGGACCCCCAACCCTGGAACGCAGCCTGAGCTCCCCAGAGCCCCCTTCACCGTGCTGTCCGCGGTGGTAGTTGTTGTTAGTATTCAGGTCTAAACTCCTCCAATAGCCAGGTATGCTCTGCCCCACAGTTACCTGGCAACAGCCAGGTAGGCCTGCCCACTATAAAGGGGGCTGCTTGCCCCCTCCTCGCTTTCTTACTCTCTTGCTCTCTTGCCTCTAGGTTCCCTGTCTCCTCGCCCCTCCACCTTTCCCTTCCCCCTCTCTCCACGTGGTCATGGCCAGCCAGCCTCTACTCCTCTACTCTTCTCCCTCTCCCTCTCTCCTCTCTCCCTCCCTCTCCCTTTCTCTCACCCCCCTCCCCCCTCGCTCTCATACTGGTGTGTGGCTGGTCCCGCAGGGGGAAGAGATGCCTCGGCATGGGCCCACTATACCTCTCCACACACAGGAACATCAGTAGTATCTGATGAGCCTGTAAGCCTGTTGTCCAAAGGACAGCTGGCCTCAGTGTCCCACTTTTGAAGCCCAAAGTCAAAACTTCTAGACAATCTGTGAAATTGGCACGAGGTTTGGATAACAAGTAACGAACGAAGGACTAAAGGTAGCCTAGGTTGGAAGTGGTAAAGCCAGGCGTGCATAGTGGTGTGCACTCCAGCTTTCATTCGTTCACTTGATGAGACACTTTAGGGTGTTGGCTTCATGACTATACTAAAAATGCCCGCTTAGAAAATCTAAAAGTAGCCGGGCGGTGGTGGCGCACGCCTTTAATCCCAGCACTCGGGAGGCAGAGGCAGGAGGATTTCCGAGTTTGAGAGTTCAAGACTAGCCTGGTCTACAGAGTGAGTTCCAGGACAGCCAACAGGACAGCTACACAGAGAAACCCTGTCTCCAAAGGACAAAAAAAAAAAAATCTAAAAGTATAATAAATTTCTTCCCTACCCCCAGCCCAAGCCTGGTTACAGATAGTCAGGTCCCTGGAGCAAAGTAGACATTAAGTATATTTTCTTTCTCTGCACTTTGGGGCGTATGCCTACCACCCCACAGTTTCCTCGAGATGTGATAGAGATGTCTTTGTGGTGTGAGTACTCAGGAAGATAAATCACCTTGGGCTCCAGTCCCTTCCAGAGATGGCTGTCTTCAGCTTGATCCACTGCTCCTGTCATAAGAGACACGTTTTTTTCTGCTCTGAACAAGTAAAAATTAAGAACCCAAATAACCCAGTTACAGCCGTTAGTACATACACGAACACCTAACATCCTGCAGCACTGTTCTCCGGCCCTCAAAATCTCTATCTTTTTTTTTTTTTTTTAATGAAAATAGAGTCCAGTTCATAATGTAGGCTTTCTTAAGGCAGCAGTTGTTAGCATTCTGTCTAAACTCCACCCCACCGTTACCTGGCAATAGCCAGATATGCTCCTCCCCACAGTTACTTGGCAACAGCCAGGTAGGCCTGCCCACTATAAAAGGGGCTGCTTGCCCACCCCCTCTCTTGATCCGCTCTCTTGCCTTCTTGATTCCCCTCTGTCCCCTCACCCCTTCCTTTCCCCCTCTCTCCACATGCTCATGACCAGCCTCTACTATTCTCTTCTCTTTTCCTGTCCTCTCCTCTCCCTCCCTCTCCCTTTCTCTGCCTCTATTACCCCTTTAACTCTCCTCCCCATGCCCTGAATAAACTCAATCCAATACCGTTATGTAGCTGGTCCCTCAGGGAAGGGATGCCTCGGCATGGGCCTACTGAGACATCCCCTTCCCCCATACCTCACCACACACCCATAGAACATATTCTTTATCTCTTTATCTTCTTAAAAACATATCAGCAGTGTCCAGTAAAATCTTCCCTTGTGACTTTAACTAGAATTCTTACACAGGCTTATCTTTTTTTAAGATTTATTTCCTTTCATGTGTATAGGGGTTTTGCCTGAATATCTGTGTACCCCAGGTTTTTAGTGCCTACATAGTCCAGAAGAGGATGTTAGATTCCTCAAGACTTGAGTTAGAGGTGACTGTGTACCACCATATAGGTGCTAGGAATTGAACCCAGGTCCTCTGGAAGAGTCGCAAACCAGTGCTCTTAACTGCTAAGCCATCTCTGTAGCCCAGGCATTATTTATCTTTGGCAGCATTTTCAAATAGCATTTTTCTTAAAGTATTGTTGACATAAAAAAGCATAGTTCTCACTACAAATGGTCTTAGTTTCTTCTGGAGCAAAATATGAATTCCTCTGTCCCCAGGAACACAGATTTAGATTACCCGAAATATCGTGTTCCTAGATGGTGACAATTTTATTGTTTCAATAGCAATAGAAAAAAATCCTAAATTAAGACACTTTAAATATATGAATGGAAACATCAGGTAAGCAAATTACAGCAAATTAATGAAATCTCTGATAAAGGCCTCAGATGTTATCTGATTTTCTTTGGGATACAGTCTGTTTATATTAAAATGGGATTTATATAATAGTCACAAGGAAGGCAATAAATAGCTATTTAAATAGAGAACTCAAGATAATTTGACTCTGGACCTGCAACATTCCAACTTTTCACAGTCATTGATTCCTAATCAGTTACCCAGCCCTGTGGGGAAAATTTAAAAAGGCCGGGGCTTCCGCCTCCGTGGTGGCTCCCACATTAGGGAGGAAGATCCTATGGTTCCAGCGGCCTGAGGGCCTTGGCGGCGGCAGGCCCCAGTAACACGAGGAAGTCCTTGGTTCCAAAAAGGTTTATTGTCATGGCGGATAATATATGGATCTAGGCGTACCCCCCCCAAAACTCAGGGTAGTCCCGAGTTATATAGGGAGGGAGAAAGGGGGAGGATTGGGGGAGGATCTAGGGGGAGGAATGTTTAATTTGCTCTGCCCTCTGGCCTTCATTAGTATGTAAATCTCTAGGGCCTGAGGCCTATAGCCTGGCCTATGTGACTCTATGGAAATGTGACTGTTTTTCAGGATCCTAGATGATGGGAGGGACCGAACTCCTGCCGGTTCTCACGCAGAATTCCACGGAGAATCTCGGGGGTTCTAAGTACCTGCTCAACCATGACCCAGGATACCCTTATGCAGTCCCACACAGCCCTATAGAATATTAATGTAGTTGTGACTTTTTTTCTAGGAACATCAGTTCAATGTGCATTTCAAAGCAGATCCTAGTAGTTTATGAATGTAATTCCAGTTCTCAGGAAGCTGGGACAGAAGGATCAGAAGTTCAAAGACAGCTTGGCTACATATAAAACCTTGTCTTTAAAAAAAAAAAAAACTGTATTAGAAAAACATACCGCTCTTTGCCCCATCTACTGCGAGAATGAAGACCATTCTCAGCAGTCAGACTGTCGACATTCCAGAAAATGTCGACATCACTCTGGAGGGGCGCACCATCATTGTGAAGGGCCCCAGGGGATCTTTGCAGAGGGACTTCAATCACATCAACATAGAGCTGAGTCTTCTTGGAAAGAAGAAGAAAAGGCTGACAAATGGTGGGGTAACAGAAAGGAACTGGCCACTGTCAGAACCGTCTGCAGTCATGTTCAGAACATGATCAAGGGTGTTACAATGGCTTCCGTTACAAGATGAGGTCTGTGTATGCTCACTTCCCCATCAATGTCCTTATTCAGGAGAATGGGTCTTTGGTTGAAATCTGAAATTTCTTGGGTCAAAAATACATCCGCAGGGTTTGTTGCTTGTTCTGTCTCCCAAGCCCAGAAGGATGAATTAATCCTTGAAGGAAATGATATTGAACTTGTTTCAAATTCAGCGGCTCTGATTCAGCAAGCTACAACAGTTAAAAGCAAAGATATCAGAAAGTTTTTGGATGACATCTATGTGTCTGAGAAGGGAACCGTGCAGTAGTCTAACGAGTGAGGCCTCAGATTCCTAGCTCCAGAAACAAGATCCTGATCACAAGTACAATTTGGGCTCTTTGAGGACAATAAAGGACTTATATATTGAAAAAAAAAATACCAAACGGCATGGTGGTGCACTCCAGAGGTAGAGACAGATTATCTCTGCAAGTTTGAGGCCAGCCTGGTCTACATAGGGAGTTTCAGAACATCTAGAGCTACGTAGACCCTGCATTACAAAGCGCTGCTCCATACTAGAGGGAAATGAATAATAAGCAAGCAGTAACCGCAGACTAGGGGCAGTGCTCAATTGGCTGGGCACCTAGTTAAGTTACTAGAGTGCTTTCTCATCGTGCACAAAGCCCTGGAGATGCCTGGCGGTCATCTTAATCCTCACTCAGGAGACAGGAGATCAAACTCAAGATCATCCTTGACCACACACTGCTATTCAGAGGCTATGCTGCCTCAAGAAAGGAGAAGGAAAGAGGAAGGAGGGGCTAGAGGAGAAGGGTGGGTGAGGGGTGAGGGAGGCCCTAAGAAGGGAGAGATAATCTCCTGTGGGAGAAAGTCATTGAGAAAGAAGTCACTTCCCATTGTAAAAGAAGTGTTAAGCTTTCCCAAGACTGTAACGGTTGGCAGAGATATGAAGCTGGACAAGCTGGGAGAAGAACAGTCCATGTAAGAGGGCTGAAAGCCATCCACTCTGGAGTAGGAAAGAGCTTGCTAAGGAGAGGAAGCTGGATACAGTGAAACATTGTAAGTAGGGGTTACTCTGCAGAGG